CATTTCTTTAGCAGACAGAACCCACCCACGCACCTGAAGAGTACAGCTGACAGGCAAGTTTCCAACAAAAACCGTTCTTCTGTCTGCTGCTTCATCTGCCACCCTGTTTATCTTCTGCTGTTTTGCAGTAGCACTCCTAGCTGAATTAACACCACTTTTGGTGATGGCTTGAGAAGCCTTTTTCTTTTGCTTTGCTTTGTTTTGAAACAATTTTTGATCCTCCTCTTCATCTGCCTGCTGTAAAGCGCTCTCTCTGATCAGAAACAAACAGGCAGGTTACAATTCATGGGAAAAAAAGCAGGGGGTTTGGGGTCAAAGAACTGAAGCCTCCAAGATATTTTAACTTACATTTGAAATTATGTTTTGACTCTAAAATTTCAAACATTATTTTGCTCATTCTGCATTAAACAAATGTATCTGACCGTTCACTAACATGAAAAACTATTTGCTGTCCCCAGGACACTGCATTCACTGTTTATCAGGAGTAATACAGAAATACTTCAGGATTAAATAATTTGATAGCCTCTAAAATTGAAGGGGAAAGAAATAATCTTTGCATTATGTTGGAACTTAGAACAGATTTAATCCTTCTCGGTATGAGGGAGACTCAGAACAAACAACTCTCTATCCCAACCTGCCATAAGAGCAGGAACAAGGTGCAGATCTGAAGGAGCCTCTGGAAGGCTACAGACACAAACACAGCGAACAGGTTCCATGGGCCCTGTGCCAGGAACAGGATGAGGGGTTCGCCTTGCGCTACAATCCAGTTCGCTTTACTATCCGAACTGCACTGTAGAGCGAGCAGCTTCCAGCCTGCTCTGAAGCACCTCGCTTCAAGTATTTATCAGAGAGTCACAGAGAGCCGCTGTGTCACTGCAGAGGCCACAGACAGCTCACTGTGCCTCGCACCTTGCTCCTGCTGAAACCACCTGTGCTGGATAAAGCCAAGGACAGCTAGAAAGCATCTCCCGAGCCAGAGAGAAGTAGATCCCTGTGTTTACATCTCCAGCCGCTGGACCTCATGGCTCTCTAGCAGAGCACTTGCACTTCACAGACCTGGAGTTTCAAGAAGCTGCACTACTTTCTCCTTCAGGGGAAAACTACAGAAAATTTGCACAATCTTAAAAATAATCTTAAACACCAAGCTGAAGATGAGTAGACGAGAACTTCGTTGTTTCATCAAACTCTTATTACAATTAATGCAGATGCTAGGGAATTTAATTTTACTATAGAATGGTGTCACCTACTCACCTCTCTGTCAGTTTTTTCTCTGCATCTGAACGTTCCTTTTTTCTGGCCTTCTTCACTTTTACCTGAGGTTCTTGTATGACGGATAAGTTCTGGTCTTCTGACACTTTCTCCCCTTCTTCTGCACGCTTCCTTTTCTTATTTCCCTTTAAAAAAGTGGTGAGAGAAACAGACCTGAAGGACAAAATTCCAGGAACGCCCTGAAGTTACTTATCTGGATAAGTAACCGCAACTTATTTGGAGCGCCGCTGCGGGGCTCACACAGCCCCGGCCGTCGCTCACTCACCCCCGGCACAGGCACCAGCACCGGCGGGGCGGCGGCGCGGAAGAGGCGAGCGAGGGGCGCAGCGGGCGCCGCGGCCGGCCCGAGGCTGCCGGACACCTGCCCCAGCACGTAGGGCTCCCCCTGCTCCTGCTCCTGCCCCCGCTCGGCCGCCGCCGGCCGCCGCTGCCCCGCACCGCCCCGGCGGCCCCGCATGGCGGACACCGAGCGCGGCGGAACGGGCGCGGCCGCGTCACTTCCGACGCGCGGGGCCGGGAGGTGTTCCCGGGCTGGGAGCTGCTTCGCATCCTGGAAACAGCCAGCATCAGCTGCGGAGGGACACAGGCTGAAGCTGCGCCAGCGGAGGCTGAGGTTGAGCATGAAGAGGAACATCTTGACAGAAAGGATGATCAGATACTGGAATGGACTGACACGGAGGTGGTGGAGTCAGCATGCCTGGGTTAAGGAAAGACTGGACATGGTCCTTTTAGTACCATGGTCTAGTTGACATGGTGGTGTTTGGTCATAGATTGTACTGCATGATCTCAGACGTCTTTTCCAACCTAATTGATTCTGTGATGAGCGTGCGATGAGAAGCAGTCTCACCAATTTCCCACGACCCTCAGTTCCAAGGGGAACTGAAGCAAAGCTGACAGTGCTTTGGCTGTCTTGCTACACATTTGATGCACTCTTTGAGCTGCCACTGTAAGCAGCTCTGTTGGCACCAGCATCCAACTCTAGGCTAAACAAGCAACCCAGCTGTTGAATGGAAGTGTTGGTCTTGACACGTTCACCAGGTATCGCCCCTGCCTTGCCTGCTGGGTGCCAGGAAAAGTGGTGACCCTCCTGGATGGGGTCAGCCCAAGAGAATACACAGATCCTTGAAAAGGGGCAGGTGGCTGCTACGTGATTTGTAGTGGCTTCTCCTATCTGCCTTCACACAGAAGAGCAGCACTGTAGTGACACAGGAGGGGCAGAACAGGCTCAACCATCATCCAGCCCACTTCAGAGACTCATGGCCAATGAAACTCAGCAAGAGGCATACAGCCTCCAGGAACTCTGCCTGAGAGCAAGCAAGTTCAATCCCTGTGCCAACAGGACAATTCCACAGTGGGAACTACCCAGTCATAAATATGGACAGGTATCAGTGGAGACTGCAACTAAGGGGAGGTGGGAGCACAGCAGAGCCTTCAAATAAGGCATTTTCCCTCAGCACCCACCAATCTCAGCTATTCCCAACATGATTAGTTGTGACACAAACCTGTCTGTCCCTCAGCTAAGGTTTAGAGAACAGAGCAGGGGTTGTTTGCCTTGCTTCACCTCTGGGATCATAATCCAAGCAGGCACTCAGGAGTACGGGCACAGCCCAGCAGGCACTGCTAGTGGCAAGCTGCCTCAGCTGCAAGCAGAGTGCATGTGCCAGGCAGTGGACTCACACACATGGAAAGCTCGTATAGTATGTTCCCTGAAAAACAGCTCAGGTTTGACCCACTGGAGCATGGGATAAAACTGCCTGGCTAACAGCTTGCCAAAGGTATCTTCCTTTGTTACTTACAAGAGACAAGTGGTTCCATGTATCTGGAGAGGAACATTAACAGACTACTTCACAGAAGAGGTGCAACATAACGCGTTCAGACAAATGTTTGAGTAGCTGCTAAAATATATCAGAGATGTGATGAAAATTAAATAATCTGTGTATTAAGGAAAATAAAAAATCCTAGTTATGCAAAACCTTGAGAGAAGGGAGCTGACCAACGATCCCTGTTTTATAAAAGTAAACAAATCCCCCCCCCCAGATCACAGAGTAATTGTCACATCAAAGCAAATATGCTAGCACTAAGACCGAGAGCTGATCCAGAACTAGTAGCGGGTGAAGAGCTGAATTTGAATCTTGCTTGCCCAGATGTAGCTCGCAGTAATGTCCATACCCCTTATGCCTACTGAAACCTAAAAGCAGAACTGAACTACCATGACGCTGATTCCACTAAACTTAAACAGGTGAAAATATCCTCTTAGTATCTTCACTGAAAATATTAAAATTACCCCTGTCAGTCTTGGATCATTGTAATTTTTAACGCAGGCAGTGTTTCCAAAGCTCATTTGTCATGGATTGTTACTGTCAGTTTCATCAGTAATCTGTCACCTTGCAGGCATAACAGTATTTTGGTCACCTGAACTACAGGCAGTAGTTTCAACTGGCTCTGCCTAAATGATGGGCCACGCTTTCACCTTCAGTTGAAAAAGACGATGGATTTGAATTAATCACCAACAGGAAAATTACGCAAATGCACGTGCTCTATCTTACCTTTGTATGTCCATTACAGCACAGCAAAGATCATTTGCTAAACTGATTCTGCAGCTTGATGTAATTTTCATGAACACACTACAGTTGCTTAATTGAACTGTTAGAAACAAAATCAGGGATTCACAAACTATGGCATTTTATTTCAGAGGCCTTTGCTTACATTTGTACAATATATTACATAACTCTCCATTTTTTGCAGAACCTAATATATATTTTATAGCTTTTTTCTATAAGCTTTTCCTTCAATGTCTGTCAACAAATTTTTACAGTCCTGTACAATTCTGAATACTTTGAAACCATTTTCAATAAAATCAGTTATAACCTTAAGCGCACACTACGAAGACTGAAAATGCTTTTCTTAGAAAAGTCAAATGAAAAGGATTCTGACACTCTAGCATCTACAAACAAAATGCTTTAAATTCTTACATGTTGTATTGCCAGAAAACAAAGAAAAACATGCCAGCCCCTATTTCCCCAGGCAAAAGAAGTACACAGAACTACAATTAAAACAGTAAAACAATCTGTACAATAAAGTACTGTGTATTAACAGTGCCAGGTATTAAATAGCTTGAATGAACACTTCCGCAATATACAAATGTCTTACAAAGGTATAGAATTAACAGGAGAGAGCTTGGGATTCATTCAACATAAAATCAATACAAGTGAAAACATTTTGAAGTTGGTTTTGGAATTTGTACAAGGCATTTAAAAAATTAAACATCTACCACTCGGCTAGCTAGTTATTTTAAAAACAACTACCCTTTTGTGGCAGTGTTGGTATCAGTAACCACAAATTATAACCTCACACCTTACTCCCTCTCAAAGTCCTCTCCTAGAAGCTCGTAATAAAATAAGCATTACAAATGAAATATTTGTTGCTTTAAGGGGAAAAGAAACATTTACAAGAAAACACAAAAATATACCTGTTATAATCCATTATGAATAAATATACACTTTAAACTGGCTGAATACAATCTTTATACATTAAGATTTAATACAGTTTGTTAGCCATTTTCTTTCTTTTTCATAATGTATTTTATCAAAATTAAAAAAAAATACTGTTTTATAGAAAAATGGCAAAGTACAGTAGTTTCCTTCCAATTAATGGGTTCTTAAAACCCAGAGTAACCTATTTAAGCCTAATTCAAACCTGTAAACATTAGTCAGTCTTTTTTTTTTTTTTTCTTTTTTTTTTAAAAGGAATCCTCATATTTGGTTATCAGGACTGATGTCAGACATCCTACTAACTGCAGGTTTTGAATAGATGTGCTTGACGTATACAATTAAAGCCACTATAAGGTGACTTAGCAGTTAAAAAACAATTAGCTTGTACAAATGAAAATATTTTCAATATTTGTCATAAATAAATGGAAAAATATCAAATGTTCCAGCTTTAACAAAATACCAGGGAATACAGTAAGCCTTACCACATTGATTTAGATCACCCCAACAACTATATACTTATTGTCCTGTCTCTACAGGCAGTGAACAGCCTCCATTTGCCACAGTGGAAGGCCTTCGAGTCACTAGACTTACAATTCCCAGACAAGTTGGAAACAATTATTGCTTGAGGAAAAGCAGTTTGTTGTACTTTTTCTTCATAAAAGTGCACTTAAGTGCAAAGTTAGCTTGTCAAGAAACAACTTTAAATACAAAATAGTGCTTGTCTGAATTTTGTGCCACTGTGCAGTATAAAAAAAAAAACAAAAAAAAACAAAAAAAGGAAAAAAAGAAAGAGTGGCCCTCAGCAGCCATTAAGTGCAAAGTGCTTTGGCAAGTCCTGCTGTCACCTGCACTCAACTGACATTCCATTCTGTGATGAACTTGACATAGATGGTTCTGCTAAGGTTAACATAACTGCAGCCGTAATGGAACTAGAGGAAGGTGATGAGGAGGAAGATGATGTAGTAGCAGCACCTGCACAGGAAAAGGAAAAGACAAGTTATAGAGATTAATAAATCAAGCAGTAAACATGTTTTCCCATTCAGCAGCAAGCATTGGTACACACTGACTCTAGCAACCAATGCCTTGCAATGGAAAAGATACCGGCCTCCACTGCCTGGTTTGCGTAGGAAACACTCAATTTAACTTGAAGGCATAGAATAAACCCCTTATTCTAAGGGGAAAGCACTAACTAGGCCCACAAGGAATACTACAGTAAATTTATTTGTAACTTGAAGAAAACTCAGAAGTTATTAATATCCTTTGTACGCTGCTTAGAAAAGTTTCTTTTCTGTGTATTTTTTTCCTGTAGGAAGTAGTTACGCCTCATGAGCATTAAACAGATTGCACACCTCGGTAACGCTCTTCCCCATCCACAGTCACTGGGTATTCGATCCTCCTAATGCTCATAAAAATACCTGCACACAGCATTTCCCAAAACCCAAACAAAAACCACGCTCCTAATGACACACATCTCCCTGTAAATTATCCTTAATATAACATGCAGTTAAGCCCTCTAAAAGCAGAACTTAAGTTTCCAGCACTTACTTTCCCGCTCTTTTTTCTTTAAGCGCTTTCTTCTTCGGTCAATGGAAGCCACCTCAGATTTCAAGGACAGGTAATGTTTCCTGATTTCTTGCAATTTTTCTTGGAGAACTGTTATCCGCTCGGCACTAGTCAGATTTTCCAAGTCAGCTGCAAGTTAAACAATCTCTGTTAACTATTGTATTGAAGCATTTCCCAACACTTCTGGATGTCAGCGAAGTGGAAGGTACTCAAGTCTTAGTGATGTTATTTGAGGTAGTAGACAGCAAACATAAGAAACAACAGCAGCAACAGCTGCTCTTTATCACCCCAAATTTGTTCATTTTTTATTATTCTTTACAAGATACCACCATATGCTTTTTGGGGACTTTTTAAAGAACTGGGAGAGGAAAAAAAAATGCATTCTCTTCCCCATACGGAGAAAAAGGATAAAAAAAACACAAAAAAACCCTCCCACAATGGATGAAAACATCAGGGCTAAAAAACTAGCTCTGAGCCTGCTGCTTTCAGTCCTTCCTGGAGCTCTGTTTGACCCCAGACACTGTAGAGGTCAGCCTTGCCTGACTTGTGTTGGTACAAAACAAGCAGGTTACAACAGGAATGTGCACAGCTGTGGGGTGGCTCTGGTGGAGTCCCTGGCATTTGTGCCATAGGGAAAACCCATACAGGACAACCTCGCTGGACATGGCCAGCACAGGAGCTGCTCCTCTGGTGTTCCCAGCTGGGAGCTCTCCACAGTTTGGTACAGGCAGGAGAAACTCTTGGTTCAGTCCAGGGAAGCCACACTGGAGACACTCCATTCTAAAGCATTTAAGGATCATTTAAATTACTATTAAATGCACTACATCAACCTTTAATGAGGGCAGCACCAAAGGACCAAAAGCCACAACTATATTAGGCTGTGGGAAAAAGTTCAAGTGTCTGACTTGGCTACAAAAGGAAATGTGTCAAACAGCACTCCGTAGACCAACTTCTGCCAAGCAACTTTAGCTTGTGGAGTGTAGCAGGGTAAAAAGAAAGGAAGGAGAAAAAGCCATTCAAATGTGTTCAATGAATCTCAACAGGACAGTAAGTGAGAATAAAGACCTTCTACATTACATACTCCTGAGGAGCACCAGAATGTAACTGGATTGTGAAGAACTACTGGGAAAAAATACTTTTAGAAGTAGACTAATGCTGAGGTGCAAGGTTGGGGAGGAAAAAAAAAAACTCCAAAAAAACAACCTAGCGAAGTCAGATTCAATTGGTAAGTTGCACTAGTATCAGGGAATTAATAAGCTACTGATCTGTTTTTCAGATAGGCAAATGTGGGAGCTTTTCCACACTGCTCACCCCTGGCTGGAACACTAGCTTGACTGAAACAGAGTGGAAGTTCAACATGTACTGGTTCACTAATGCAAAATGGATGGGGAAAAAATTACAAATCAATCACCTAAATGTCTGAAAAAGAACTAGAGAATGAGGAATAAACAGCAAAGAAAAATCAACAGAAGTAGCACACAGAGCAGGTAATGTTCATGCCAGAATGACAGGTATGCACACCACAAAATAGCAAGGCAGCTCAGGAGTCAGATATAAGAACAGTCCTGGGAGAGTGTGACACAGGCAGCTCCCTGTGTTGCAATTGCAAGAAAAGAAAGAAAAAACCCAACCACCTTATTTTTTTTTTTTTTTTTTTTAAATGAGGATTTATCACAAGCTTAAGCAAATTCAGGATGGGAACAAAAAAGCCAAAACACAGAACATTCAAAAAGCCTTTTTACACTATACCACAAGATGATACTAGATGTGTTTTCAAGAAAATACTTACACATTTGAAAACTCCACTTGTAAACTTTGGGCAAACGATTATTCTGTTCTTTGAGATCAGACTCCTTCTCTCCATTTTTACCACATTTTCCTGGAGACTGTGTTCTTGTGAGTGATTTGGTTTGGTGAGATTTCATGCCAGTAGAAACCGATTTTGCTGACTGAGACTTGGACACACTTTCACCAGCAGATAGTTCATCACTGTCGCTGCTGTTTGCTGAAGAAACAAGAAGACATCGTTACAAAACAAAGCCCAAACTAAAGCTTGTCACAAGCAACTTGTGTGCTGATTTTCATACAACAGGAATTTATTTGACCCAAATCCTTGACTTTCAAACAACAGAATCCATCCTGGTGCAGAAGCCTTGGCTTGATGCTCTCTGCATCACTGAAGCACAAACCAGGTATAAAGCAGGGCCAAAATGAACCACATCATGGGGCTGTGCTTTTTCTAAGAGTTCACAAGACTGATCATTATGGTCCATCTCCTAATTACATCTAATTTCTAACATCAATTTCTAATGCAGTATTCAACATATATATAAACCTCCATCCCACTTTAGAGCTAACAGTTACAGACAGATCTTTAACTGTATTTTTAGGACATGTATAGCAGAAGCAAACACAGCCTTTTCTTAGCCTTATGTCACCTTTATTTTAACTTTGCTCTACTAAAATCACTATCAATAATCTGAACATGTATGACATACTCTACAAATTCCTCAGATATGATGATAATTTTTTTTTAATTTTGGAAAAAGATCTTGCACTGACACAAAATGGGAGAACTATACCTCATGCTGAAGAAACTTTTAACTATAAAGGAACAGGCTGAACTGAACACAGGTTTTTAATCAAACCACTCAAAGGAGAGTAACAAAATAATCTATCTAAAAGACAGGTTTTATGAGTACTGATTGAAAGAATAAAGTTTTTTAGCATTACTAAAATAGAACTGTTGAAAGTTTCTTGTTGAAACTCTTTCAACAAAAGAATTGAAAGCAGACACAAGAGACTGTAATTCAACACAAGTCTAGCAAAGCAGTGAAATAAAAAGCCTAGGAAATCTGCAGAACCTCAATTGTTACAGTAGTTTTTTAAAAACACACTGAATTTATATTTATTAATAAAATTGTATGCCTTAGTTGTACCTGCCCCAGGTGTTGACAAAATGAGCCCTGAACTCTTTGGCCTTTGTGATCTGGTGATCTGCACAGGAGAAACTGAATACCCAAGACATGCAGTGTGAAAGAGCTTCGCCAGTTGCTTGTTGGTGTTGGTTTAATGCAAAGGCAAGAGCTGAAGCTGCCACAAAAGCAATTTAACAGGTACACCAGAATTTTGCTGAAAGCTTTTGGTTTTTCTGCTTACAGCTGAATCACATTTTATCTATTTATTTTGCTTATTACATCCAGTAGTGCCTGAAGTCTAACAAAAAGAGCCCACCAAAGAACTACGTGGTAGTAACTTTGAAGCTTCACATCCTGATGAAGACATAGGTTGAGAAAAAGGGGTAAATTCACCAAATCCAAGGGAATAAAGGCAAGGCTAAAAATGGTGTATTTGTTCTGAAAATTCAGTTTGTTTTGTTACTTTAATTTCTGGGATGAGGACAGGAATAAGGATTATGAAAGGAGGAGATCAGTGAAATAGAATTAAAAAGGATGAGAAAATATAAAGAGATCAATGAACATGAAAGACAGCTGGGGTGAAAGCAAATACCAGAGCACCAAATACAGACTTTTACTAGAAGCTGTTAATAGAAAGAGAGAGGGAAGCTGGCCAGAGAGAGGAAAAAAGGCATGGCATATGCTTTTTAGCCTTCCTTTAATTCCATTTTTTACAGTTATCCTCCAGACTTCAGTTTCTAGCTGTTTCCTGGTATTTTTTTATTAACAGTGAAATGAATCAGTAATTGATCTTGTTGTCTCCCAACAACCCCTAACACAACCCTTCTTTTATTATGCTTCCCTTACCCAGTACAGTGGTTTCTATTCCAATTAACTTCTACAACTACAAAAAACTGCAAAGGCTGCATTATTTACTGTAGATGTAACAGCACAGGAAGAAAACAAGAATCTATATTCTGGAATTATTCTCATATTTGGCATAGTGTACAGATATTAACCTCTAAAAATTCATCTTCCAGAAAATACAGAGTATAATTTCCTTCAGGTCCCAGTCTCCCCTCTAAAGCAGGCAGCTATCATGATACAGAGATACCTGTCCCAATTCTGCCATGTGTATAATACCCTCTATTCTTGGCTTTTCTGAATTACACAGCACTAAGGAGCTCTTAGAAATAGGCCCAGAAATAGTACAAGACATTTAAAAACACTTCGGTGTTTAGGTAGAGCAGTTTCTTCATTTAAACACTGTTAAGAATTCCCTGATGAGAACATTTTGTCCTAATGCATTTTTTATTTACAGACTTCATCTCCTACAATCAGTTGAACAAATGACACGCTACTTTCACACCTTTTATTTCACACTAAGGTGCTGTACTTACTAGTTTTACTCTTCTTTTTGCTGCTCACAGATGTTTTGTGGCTTCTTTTCTGCTTTTTTGAGGAGCTGCCTCCTCCCTGAGCATCTTTAAGTCTTTTTTGGCCTGTACAGACTATAATTGGGAAAAGAAAATAAAAAAGAAAGAAACAGAAATTAAATAAGTGCTTGCACTCCTCCCACAAAACACTTCAAAGCTTAAGTTTGTAGACAACAATGCAACTGTTCCTGCCTAACCTCAATGCACCTCAGTTTTCTACTTATATTGACAAGAGGAGCTGAAAGACAATGGAAGGCAGACAAAGTTTCTTTGCACAGAGTGCACATGTATGATGATTAAAAATTACTTTCCCATATGCGTCACCAGAATTTCTCTTGAACCACATAGATTTACTATTTTTTAATGCAGTAAATTGAATAAGAATGCATTTGTTAAAAAAGTTATCAAGACCTACTGGGACTAAAAATTGTTTTTAAAAGTTTGCTGTACTTGGAAGCTGTGAGAAAAAAAACACAAAGCCATAATCTGTGATCAGTAATTACATTGACTGAATTGTTAAAAAAAAATCCTGGATAATGTTTAAAAAAACCCAGTAAGTAAAGAAAGGCAAACAAAAAACAAGGGAAAAATCCTACTGGTATTTGTGACCACAAGGGGAATAAGTAGAAAAGGAACAAGGAAGGATTCTAGTACACCTGCTAAAAGAGAGTGTTTTAGGACTTCTTCAAACGTTGTTTCAGAACCATGTGACTTACAGATTAAAAAAGACCCCTGGAATAAAACAATTTAAATTAAGGAGCCAAATTTTCTGAAACAGGTGACATGCTGACAAAATCAGAGAGAAAGTTAAAGTCTAATGCATGTAAAAATACTCTTTTACAATAGTGTAGAACTTCTTATAAGTGGCAATAAACTACTTTCATATAAAAAAACCCAAGCAACTTAAGTTCTAAACCAACACAGCTCTAACCAGCAAAGCAATACAGGTGTATTTATTGAGGGTAACCTCAATAAATTCACCTCAATTCACCTCCTCCCAATTGTCTCCTTTAAGGAAACATATTTTGCTGCATACTTTCAGAAGAACATTTCCAACAGAAAGCTGAACACACCTTTAAGGGCATTTTGGAAAAAAATTAGCTAATTGTTAGCCAAAATCCACTGAGATTAAAAAAAAACCACTTCTGTCTCAGGATTGTAGAAAAATTGTATTTTCATCCTCTGTGTTCATAACTTTTAGCCACTACAACACAGTGAAAGTAGTTATACTTTTGATAAACTGCAAAACAGCCAGTCACTTTCAGAAAAAAGCTTTTGGATCTTGCCTTGCCAGCAGTTAAAAAGAAGGCAGCACTACAGTGACATCATGTGCACAAGAGTTTATTATCCCCCATTCTCTAGTGGTTTCAGAAAAGGAAATTCAATCTGAAAAATCACATATGAAAGTGAAACATAGCTGAAAAGGTCAATGCTTTATCAGCTTGACTTGAATCTTATGAAGTTAATGTTCTAGAAAAATACAGATTAGAAATGACTGCTTAAGCACCTGAGAAGCAAGAGGGCTTTCTCCAAAACAAACAACTTACAGAGAATCAAATTTTATGCAAGAAAAGCAGCTCCTGCTTCTAAGGAGGGTGCTGAAAATGCTTCCCTCTTGCTACAATAAATGCTCCTTACACAAGCTATTACAGTTTGCTCTGGGGTTTTTTGCCATATCTAGTATAAACTTCATTCTTTTATCCTTTGTCCCTCAGTGAAGCCACCACAATTGCTAACAAAAGGCCAATAAACTTGCTAGCAGATTACATTTTCATGACAGATTAAAGAGATGATTATGCCATTTCCACACATCTGAAATGGACAGCAGGCTACTACTTCCTGCAACAACTAACTTCCCTTCACCATAACCAAAACAGCATGAAAACACATCAGCAATGTTAGAAATAAGAGCTAGTTAGGTTGGAGACAGCTCTGTTCACCCTTTCCTTTATTACCTTTTTCAGCATGCTCTGGCTCTGGTTGATTACTACTACTGGAGCTGACGCTGGCATCAAAACCTGTTGGAGAAATATTTCCCTCAGACTGGAGGTCTTGGAGCTCCCCTACCACACTGTCCACCTCTATTGTGCTATCTGTTTCACTTTTGATGCTTCGAATCTCTTCTTGATTTGGTGGCAGTGTCTCAGAGACAGTGACACTGGACTGATGTCTACTGGACTCTGTCACAGTTACAGAGGAAGGTGATTCAGGAGTTGTAGGAGGTGTATTTAGCACTGAATTGCTGCCGCTGCTTGGAAATTCAACTTTCTTCTCACCCACTTCAGTTGGTTTCTCCTCAACAGGCTTAACATCCACACTTGCTGGCAAAGATTTTTCAAGTTCACAGTTAGGCAAAGTAATGCCTCCTTCTGCGAGCGTCTGAAGCTGCTGCTCTGCCGCAGCATCCTCAGGAGCAGCATGTGGAGGAGAGGCAGCAGCCTCAGTATCAGAGTCTGAGAACAGCTCCTTCAGCGTTTTCTTCGGCCATTGTCCTTGGATACTTGACCACACATCTTTTCGATCCTTTGCTCTGGTGTTCTGAAGTCTTTCATCAGAGTTATTTAGAAGCTTTATTCTTTTCTCTCCCACTTCAGAAAATCCAGAGTAGAAAGTACTTGTCCGTAAAGATTTCCTTTTCTCCTCTAGTCCATTGTACTTTTTCGTTGGAGTGATTTTCAGTTTAGATTTGTCTTCCTCATCTTCATCAGAGGAGCTGTTACTGCTATTTTCTAAACTAAGGGAGTCTTTGTTTTTGGACTTCTCATCCTTTCTATTAGGTGACACGGTCTTTAAGGACTCCTCTGCAACACAGTGTCTTCGCTTACCACGCTTCACTTGTGGTTTTGCTGTTTTATCCACAATCTCCTTCTTTCCATCCTTTCTCTTCTTTGTGGCTTCGTCTTCTCCGTCAGAGTCACTATCGTCAGATAACTCTTCCATCTCTTTCCGCAATCTTTCAGGAGATTTGGATACAGACTTGGGTACTACTGCATCTGTAAGAGCTTTCGTTTCTTCTGGGAGGGATGAACCACTCTGTTCTTTTAGACGGAGTTCATTTTTATCTTGGCTTACAGCTTCAGGCTGAGATTCCTCTTTCCCATCAGCATGTACATTCGGGGCACTTTGGTCATCTTCTTGCTCACTATCATCAGAACTTTCAGAAGCTAATTAAAAAAAATCCAAACAAAACAAAAACAAAACAAGAAAAGTTTGTCTTCATTCTGGTTACAAAGAACTGTTAAAAAGAAAAACCAAAAAACAACTGAAGGAAACTGTACAGATATGAAGACATGCTACACGGATCTCTAGCAGTCTCCCTCTTAAATGGTACCTCCTGAAGAGTTCAGAACTCATTGTACAATGGCTAGATTAGAAGCTATGAAGATTCTCTGTTACACAGTACATCTCCAAGAATCTCTGAAGAGGTAGAGAAAGCACAGAATTTTAATCCATAAAATACAAACTTCTGCACAATTACTCAGACCAGGAACTGAATATATGAATATGCTCTTACATATTTTTTATGGGTTACAAATACTATCATTATCTGCCTTTTTTCCAAAGCCCATAACACAGACATCATTTTCCCTGGAAAATCCAGAGTCTAAAGGACAGAACAACAACACACACATTGGAAACTAACTAACCAATGATGATCAGCCTGGAAAAAGGAAATGAAAACAATACATAAAGGCACTTAGGGAAACAAATGGACAAGAAGAATGTAGGACAACTGCAAGAAAATTCAGGGTCAGCAATAAAGGAACTGAGAGAAGAACAAAGATATATAATCCAGAAGGAATCAACAGCAATCTCATACAGTGCAAAAATATACGGATTCAAGAAGAAACACAGGAATTGACTCAAATATATATATAAATATATATATATATATGTAACTCCTTGATTTGTAAAGTTAATTACAGATTAATTATCACACTAATAAAAGTGTCACCGCTAATTGGGTTTGTTTCTCATTTCCTAAGGAAATGAAGCATAATAAATTACGTTGATTGTTATTCTACCTACAGTTTTGGAACTCAGTGGCCAGTGTCATCCAAGTTCAAATAAGCTGGAACGATTATTAAATTCACACAGCTTCCACAAAAGTTTGTGGTTACCCAAACTACCTACACCATACATGATTTATTTCTCTGGAAGCATGCCCTAAACTAAGAATGAAGAGAAGTAAGTAGGTATTAAAATGCTGCTGTAAATGTGTGGGCAGGGAAACATAGTGCTAGCAACAACAGACATGCATTAATAATGGGTCCTATAGCTTAGGTGAATTGAAAATTAAAAATTTAGAAATTAGATAGGGAGTAAAAATGCTTTGCTCTATGTCAAACAAACAAACAAAAAAGGATGGCAACACAAAATGTAATTGACTGTAAAAGACTGTTAACACACCGAACTCAAAGAAACTGCCAACACCGCTTTTGTCCAAGGGTTACTTCTGAAGATGATGTTATAATTAGCCAGACAGACTCAAGCATTTAGTTGCATCACTTATTCTACATTGTCATTTACTCCTGTCTAAAGTCCATTTACAGAACCAGAAAGAGCTTTTAAGTGCAATACCTTGTAGCCCATTAATGATAGAAGTAATTTCTATTGATTTAACTGGAGCTTGTTCAGTATTTTTGGCTTCAGTGCTTTCAAGTTTGGACCCAGTCTCTGGTGATGTGCTGGTGTGAAAGGGGGGTTTTGACAAACGTCGCAATTTACAAGGTTTAGGAGAATACTTCTCTTCCTTCTCTCTGTCAGTTTTATTCTAGGTGGAAAAAAAAGATACAAAAACCCTTCTCAATGGAGCACGCATCTTACCATGGATTACAATTAAACAATGCTTACAGTTATCTTAAACATTGAATCTGTATAGGAAAGCTCTCCTCTTTGTTTAAAGTACTACAAACACTTTTCTACACTCCATGCCAAGGCCTTTCTACTGAAGACAGGGACTTTGTCAACATTAAAACATTGGGAAGACAAACACAACCAGTGCTCCAGGAGCAGTGGCACTGCAGGATGCCAGGCTCAACAGTGGCAGAAGGAAAAGCTTCCTTGCAAGCCCACTGTCCAAAAAATACGTCATCATCTAAGCCTAAGTATCAGTTGTGGAAGAATCAATTTTGAAAGAAATCTTGACAATATATTGAGTCCCATGCACATGGATTGGTCCATACATTTGCTCTGCAAAATCAGAGAACTCTAAAATTTAACCCCCTCAAGCTGGCTCCCAGCACTGACAATAATCTGTATCCTTCTCATTTGTTCTTTGTGAATGACTACATGCATTTAATTAAAAACTCAGGAAAGAGAAGCTTCCCCTCCTCACTTCAAGGAGAAAAAGCCAAAACCATGATGAAAAGGAGTATCCATGTTTACAAGGCTATGAAGTTGCTTTGCCTGATAAGCATTTGTAGGCCAATCAAAGGGTCAGGAAGGGAGGCAGGGATTACTTAACTAGGTATCAAACCAACGCTGGGAGCGACAAGAGAGAAAAGAGAGAAAAACTACCTTTATTTTCTTTCGATGCTTAATTTTTGGTACATTTTTATCAGCTGGTCTCACTATCTTGTCTGCCTTTATCCATTCATCATACCTAAACAGAAAAAGAAATAGTACACATTTAACATTTTAAGAGAATAATCACATCACAATAGAAATTTAACTGAGGAAAAAGAGAATTAGTAGCCATATAAAACCAGAATTGGAATTTGAATCAAGTAATTTGTGGAATTCTCAAGTCTGTGAAGTTTCAGCTAAGGTTCAGAGGATTAAAATCTTTTTACACTGAAGGGTAAATGCAAAACCTATTTTCCAGTCTGCACAGAACAGCAGTAATCCATGTACGCAGGTAAAACAAATTACCTGAATGAGAAATCTGTACACACTTTTAAAATATATACTTCCTATTTATACAGTGTAAAGCCTTAACAATAAGATAAATCCTTTCACCTACATAAAATGTGACCAGTTAATAAAAATAAACTCTTTTGATCCCAAGTGACTGCAAGAGTTATCTGGAGTGAGCAACCCTTGGGAGTCACCAACTCTGAGTCACTGACTTCAGAGTCATGTTTTTCAGTCCCTTTTCTGTTAAAGGTTTCCATTTCGTATCAGGGTGATACAAGACAAAAACATACTAAATAGCAACAAGATATTAACAACAGGCATCTTGTTATTCAAGACTGGACCTGTTAAGTACAAATCCAAGACTGAAAAAGTACATTCTTAGTAAGAATATACTGTAACTACAGCACTGTGCTTGCCAAATTGTGTATTCCTGAAAAACTCAAGAATCATTTAAAACAATTTTTTTTTTACTCCTAATAAGAATAAGTTGCTTTGATACTTAAATTGTTAATTCAAGAACCATCTGCATAAGAAAAAGTTCAGTTAAAAAATAGTTGGTATTAACTTTGACCTAAATTTACATACAAACAAATTCTGATCCTCCTAGGCAAACATAAAAATAGAGGGGAAAAAATCAACTTCTAAAAACCCAAAAAACCAAACCACACTCAAAAAAAATTGTACAAGATCCAGTTGAGCACAATCACCATGCTGGCTTTCCAGCTGGGCTTACTTGGTCATCATTTTGATATATGCAATATACAGTCCTAATTCAGCTTCTTCACAACCACTGCCAATTATATCCACAATATTAACATAAATTCAAAAGATTTAGGGAAAAACATGCAAGTTTCCAACTTCCTTTCCTACTTATTGTAAGTTATGAGCTATACAAGGGATTTCAGAAGCTAAATACTGTATTCTACTAACTTAAATTTCACATAATAATACAGTGAAAAATTAAATAGCAGCAGTCTGAAAAACAGCTTCCCAAAACAAATTGTTCTGATTTTCTCCCCTCCATGAGATAATAAAAATCACAAAATCTCACAGCAGGCCATGCAGACTGTGATGTACCAAGACTGCCTACACTGCTGCAGACACCACTGTCATTGTACTATTACACTATCATTACCAGGTGAACCATCAGTAAACAGGTTCAAAACTGAAAAACAATTCTGCAGAGTACTTGATCACATGGAAAAAACCCATATTCTGAGACTGTGGGAAACCCTATTTGAAACAATCTTTCTTGAAGATAAAGACATGTTTTGCACAAGAAATACCATGAAGTGCCTGCCAAATGGACTTTGTGACCCAGAGAAATGCAGGAGTGTTTTATTAGATCTAAATACATGCAGGAAAACAGCACAAGGACCAGACAAACACATAGTGAAAAGTGAAGATTCTGACAGTGTCCTTTCTGCCTCAGCCACATTGCTAGAATTCCAAATTCGTATTCACTCATTCTTATGCATCTCCAATAAGAAATTAATCTTCCTCCTATGCAAAGTCTGTGCACAGCCCACACTGTCTGAGATTCATGGCAACTGCAGTGCCTGTTGGGGCAGGAGCCGATAGACATGGGGGCACACTGAACCAAAGGAGAGAAGTGCAGAATCTGAAAAGAGAATACCTGCCCAAACCACAGAGTCCTAAACATCATGTATTAGAAACAGTGGTCAAACAAGCACTCATCTGAAGGAGCACAAACTGGAACGCTAATGTGTGACAGTCACAGTTGCTGGCCAGAGCATTTCCTGCTTTACTCCTGACTGCACCCAAAACAGCAGACAGACCCTTCGAGGAAGCCACAGAAATCTCACATTTTTTCCAGGCAATCAGCTGCCCACTCTTCACACCTTTGCATCGCACAGCTCCTTTCACTACTCACATATTGGATGCATATGGTTTACCTAAACCTGGGACAACTGGACCCCAGGCTGAAACAGATTCTGCAAAAAAGATACATTCTGAGCCACAGTTGACAACCTGACCCTAAATTAAATTCTCCTCCACTGCAAGACAGAGAAGCACCCTGAAAGTGGCATCTAAAATGGGGTGTATGACTCAGACTAGAGCCTCTTTCCAGAACTGCACCTGTTAACATATGAACACCTACCTCACCACTAATCTAACTTTGGACAGTCTGTTCACAAAACAAAATTAACCCAAAAATATTATCAAAAAAGTTTTTCAGCTCTCATTACAAGAAGCATGTCCTTTCAGAGGACATGCTTTGTTTTACTGCAGTGCTGTCTTTCACATGTTTTCACCACCCTAAAGTGAGCAGATGAGAGTGGAGAGGAAGGAGATAATGTGGAGAGCTGCTCCTAAAAGATGTTACACAGATTTCTTTGAAAATCAAGACTGGGGATTTAATAAGGAATTTTTATTTACTTATTTTTTTTTAAATCGGGTTTCATATGAAAACCTGTGATGCATTCATAAAGAAAATCCCCTTGCCTTACCAAAATGAAGACAAAGAAGAGCACCTTGCATCAGAGTATGCACTGATAGTACTACATTCCTATGTGCTGCTTACTAGATAAAATGCACCACAACATACTCTCAGAGACTGCATAGTCAACCTCCACAGAAGTGCTAGAGGATAAACAAGGAAGAACGCATACTTGTCCGGACTCGATTTGTACTAGCAAAGGTACTACTTTCCTCAGAAGGACAAGTGACCTCAAGGAGCTAGCAAGCCTTGGCAAATTCACTGAAAAGGTCCAGTATACTATCTGTAGCTGGTAAAAAGCAGAATGAATTTTTTATTTTATTTTTTTCCTGTGATCAAAGAAAGGAGAAAAAAATTAGTCTGATACTCAAATACTTAAATATTAGATGGGGATTCTGGGATTCTAGTTTGCCTAATTTCTTTTTCGGGGTTTTTTTTTTTGTAATCCCTCCCCTGTGCCCCCCTGACATACGTTACTCTCCAGGACCCAAAATTTTGCTGCACATTTAATTTCAGTGGTTTACTGTAAAGTATAAAATTTGTATATGAAGCAATGTTTCAACAAACTTAGACAGAAATTTGCACTTTCACATGCAGATTTCTGGAGGAAAGAAGTTTTGAGACTAACAAGTCTTAGCATTAAACATTTGAAACATTCAAGAATAACATGTCTTGTGATGTTGTACCATCACGACACACACAGTTTCAACGATCTAGATGCTTTTTAAATATGCACCCTCTAATTACTGGGAACACAGTGCAGAAGAAAGTCACCTCCAACACTTACACAATGAACTGTTCTTTGCACTGGGAGCTGAAGATTAAAATTACAACAGAAGGAACTGGCACCATAGGCCCCAAAGAAGTTTTAATTACATACAAAGCACACATAATTCAGAACATCACTGCTCTGTCAGAAGAAGTACGGTTTCTCCGTATTTCTCTGCTTCTTCTGGTTAACACGTGATACCATAAGGAGATCCCTCTAACAGGCTAGAGATTTCTACCATTCCCTTTGACTACAAGTCAGGCTCCACTGAACACTACCATTCAGAGACCTTTATTAAAGACACACATCACCTGAATCTCAGGAGTTAACAGCAAGATCCTTTAGCATAATGCTGTACAGCTTCTGCACTTTCTATTTACTCTTTAAAACAAAAAAAAGTTCCACAGTTCTTAATGTCACTGTTCCAGAGCATTTAAAAAAACCAACAAACCCAGCTAATGAAGGTGAGTATCAAGTCTAACCAACTTCATTCCAGATACCCTAAAGAATGTGAGCATGCACACACAGAGTTATTCTGAATTCCAGACTGATACTGAAATTACCTTGTGATAAGAACCATCCGTAGTCATTTAGGATTTCTGCTCAAACTTATGAGTTTAAAGAACAGGCCATTACATGGCATACTTGACCAAAAGGGGAAACAGGAAAGTCAACTTTAAGGAGCAAAAGAATGGCAGAATTAAAAAAACCCTGGATGATTAGCAAATCCTAGTTCAGTACATTGCCTGTACAGTACATACAGTACTTGTACCCGCTGAGTAATCTACAATGAGTAAGGAGAGCAGGGAATTGCTTCCTACCCAACTAAGGCAGCTGCTTTTCCAGGTTGTCACTGACTGAAAGCCAAATCAAGCTATTACAGCCTACAACACGGCTTCACAACACTAAACTGTCAAAGTGCTTAGATGCTGGTTAAAGCTGAGGCTAACACACTCTTTCTGTCAAATCCATAAACCTAAGTAGTTTTACATGTATGAAAAAAATTAATCACATTTAGCAGAGTCCACGCACAGTCCCACGGCTGAATCTCAATCACTGATGTGGTTTTTCAGTGAAGAATCCTACTCCCCCCTGCCCCCCAAACATTTTCAGAGAGCTCTTTTGAAACACCAGGTAAAAATATAGTCCTGCTGCCAAGAAAGACCAAACAATCAACAGTCCTTACTTCCCAAATGAGTGCAAGTTAACTAAAAATGCTTTTATTATCAAACATATCCTAGTCACAGAAAGAATGCCTCTGACATCCATCTGCAGATTTATTTAAAATGCAGAGTTAAAAATTTAGAATCTTGATTTCTCCTTTGAGAACTGGGATGCTGGGATCTCCAAGGTGAAGAAGACTCATTTTTGACTTCTCATTTCTTCAGATTTGAAGTGGCACTGCTCAAATAAAAATGTGATCATCTCACCTCACAGCACGGATAATAGCATGATATTTGCTCAAAAAGAAAAATAACTTCTATGCTTATATGTGAATTCCAAAATAAGAGTTTAAAAGCAAGAAACCTCTTGGAATGGTAGACACAGTAGTCTTCAGTGAGTAGGATGAAAATTTCAGCAAACTGCACTCCAAGGGAGTCCTCCTCAATAAGAACTGGACCAAAATGCAAGTCACACCCCAGCTCCCACCTTGAGCAGGCTGCATCTCCCCTCATATCTTGACTTCACAGCCCACTATGCTTACAGATGTTGCCTGAAGACAGTTTATGTCAGATCCTATTCGTGTAGATCAGTGTAGATCAAAATTCTACAGAAGATCAGTACCAAAACTGGCAAGAGCGAGATTCCTCCTCGGCAGTAGTTCAGGTGTGGCTGGAAATCACCAGGCCTTGATGCAAAGAGATGAATTCAAGGCAGCAAGAGAAGCATCACACTTCTCTGTTACCTCTGCTAGCAGATCTTGCTAGAAATGAATAAATGATGTTTCTCCTGCCTTCTTGGTCACAGGCAGTATGCCCAGATGACAGATGAAGGTTACAAGAACCTCAGCTTTCCCAGAAAAGGAAAAATAAGAAAACTTGTCTCAGACTTGTGAGTTTTTGTTTTTTTTACAGACAGTAATATTAAAAAGGCAAAAATTAAGGACAATAAGCAGTTATGTTGAAATGGAGGAAAGAAGCAGACATGCTTATATGCTGTTCAAAAACTTTAGTTTTCTCTACTATTTTCAAAGCTGCTTCAAGTTTTAAATGGCAAAAAAGAGGTCTGAAATAGCATCAGAAATACTTCAACTTATTTCTAAAAATGCTAGACTAAAGACAGTAAAAAGCATATGCTCCTCCTTATATTAAAGAAAGCATGAGAAGCCACTAGGCTAAGAAGAGTCTGGCTGGGAAGTTTAGGGCAGCCTCAGGGGGAGGTGGGGCAGGGAGGATAGATATCAGATCAGATGAAATGCAGTTATTTGCCACTAAGAATCTTGTTGGTTTCCAGTTAAATACACTGTTGCTGGTGTACTCTGTGCTTCACTGACAGGAGTGAGTTCACAGCCTCAGCTATTACTCTCTACTCAAACAATGAATCAGAGAAAATCGGCTTAAAGAGAGCCAGAGGAGGAACCTGAAAAGAGTGATGCGTCACTTGCATGGGAAGATCTAAAAGAAAGATGGGGAATAAATGAAGCCTTCTTTGAACAAGCCATTTTAAGATGAGTTGCAAAGTAACTAAAGCCCTGCATTTATATAGTGTTAAAAATCTAAGTTTCATACAGTACAATGACCTTCACAGAACACCAAATACTGAAAGTTTAGGACTCCAGATGTCTATTAATTTAGTTTTTAAAATTCATAAGTGTATTTGAGAAGTAATTCAAGAAGTAATCACTAACTAAAACTCAAGTTACCTCACGTTCCATCCACAGTAGTGCACCAAGTAAAGGACTTCTCCACCTTCGATGTCAGAATCTTTAATACTAGCTTCATACATTTTTTGATTTTTCCCTCTTCCATACCGCACTTGGACTTTCATGCCTGGTGGATAGCATTCAAACTCTTCTTCCTCATTGTTATTGTTGTCTTCTTCCTCCTCCTCCTCCTCTTCCTCCTCCTCTGCTTCTTCTTCATCTTCATCTTCTTCCTTATTCGTGTCATCTCTTGAAAGGTTTAAAAAATTGTAGAGTTAATATGAGATACTTCATAAGCTTTTCAGTTCCAAACCACATATATTGATAAATATTGTGGATGCATTAGAGAGTGGGAAACAGGAGGCTCCAAATATGTGAAACTGTACTACAGCTGAGTAATATCAGCAAAATAGAATATAGTAACACACACAAAATCCAGTGACTGTAAGATGCAAAAGTGACTTAAAGAAAAAAAAAAATCCATCAAAATCTGTATGAGTAGAAGTTGCTCAAACTCATCTTTATATGATTCTTGCATGCAGTTTCTTTGTTTAAATATAATTTTCTCACTTAAAATTCTTTTCAATATAGAGAAAATTTCCTAAATTCTATTTTTCAACCTACAAGTTTTACAAATGCTTCTTGAAATTTGCTTCTCAAAAAAATCCTTGCTTGACTGCCATACATAAACTCTATCTCAATAGCTTAAAATTACTGCAACCACAACCAGATTTCGGACAAAAAACCCCAATATCTTATGTGCCTGTATTAGCAAATTAAACAACCCGTGCTAATTTATGACCTTGTCACTCCTTGCCAATTATGCCAAAAGTATTCTAAATATGTCAAACTTACATTTAATTACCATATAAATACACAAGCAGGTGTTCACTGCTTTCAGAAGCAAGCTAATTTTGAAAACATCTTTAGATATTTTGGATCAATTTTCAGAAGCAGTAAGAACCCACAAATCGTGCTAGTTTCAGTCAATGGTAGCTACAGGCTGCTCAGTTATCTGAAAATTATCTGCAATCAGCTTAAAGAGGCAGAGTACATTACCAAAGTTAATGAGAGAAAATATCTTCTAATCTTAATTAGACTTATAAAGCAGTATTATTGACCCTCATATAATTCTAATCACACACTCTGTGCAACACAGAACAGATTTAGTTGCTGACTAAATTCACAACAACTGCAGACTGCCAATAATAAAAAAAAACCTGATACGGGGAACAGGTATGTTTGGATATCTGGATAAGAGAACATAAGTACTACTCCAAGTCTGATTCACACCAGTATTTCAGTTAAGCTCACAAAGAGTAGTCTGTATTAATAATCTAAACCACTCCATAACATTTTCAGCAGAAAATGCTCAGATAAACCAAGCTACTATCTCTCTGCAAAAGGATGCTCCTTTGCAGAACTGCATTAATGTTGTCACACCTATATATATATATATATATATATATACATACATAGGCACACTAAATATACAAACACATATATGTATATACACACATGTGCATACACAATGCAATAAAGGCTAAAAAAATCCATCTTTGTCTATTAAGTACACCAAGTCACAGATGTTGTATCTATTCAGGTATATATGGCATGGACCATACAGTTTAATTCTAGAAGGCCAAGATTTTAATTTTATTTTTTTATGTATGTATATGTATAAATACACACACACACACTAAGTCTTGGCCTTCCAGGAGGTAGACAGATAGATATAACTATATACTTTTAGTGAACTACTTTGCTAGTGAAGTTAAAACCACCAGAGTTAAAAATGCAACATGAATAAACAAGCTTTGAAAACTCACTTACAGCAGAATTTACTTCCCAAGGAAATCAGTAAAAAAAGGTGCCTGAAGATTCAGATGAAAAATTTGAGTAGAATTCTACAGCTAATAATAAAAAGCACCAACTAGTAATTTAAATGATTTTAAGTTAAACTCTCTGCTGCACTAAACAAAAACACCTAGCCAATTTCAGTTCAAGGGGTACTATCACACAAAAGCTAAAAAAAAGGGATCAGAAGCCAAGCTACCACTGCTCCAATAACAAGATAAGCTTGTGATTTTCCATTACTAAGTACATTTCAAAACTTCAATGAACCAAATTTTGCCTTTTTTTCTCTCTCCAAGATGTAGGGGCACAATCCTCGAATGCTGTCTGCAAAGTAAAGTATGCCTATGCTGGAGATTCAGGATTTTCCAGACACTGGCAATTATGGTGCCAGTGGCTTTTCAAAAGCTGAACAAATCTGGAGTCTTTCTCATCTTAATTACCCTATAGCTTTCTTGGTGTCCCAACATATCCTACAAAGACTCCATGAAAACACCAGAAATTGGTACCTTCTGGAAGAGATGTGTGAAACCATCATTGTGAAGTTGAGTAACTTGGATGGTCAAGGAGATGTGAACAGCAGGCTGAACATAGGTGTAAGGGCATGTCAGGAAGCAAAAGCAAAATGGAAGCAGAGATGGCTGCAATTAAAAAGTGTTCTAACGAGTGACTTGGTTAGTAATCATAAGCTCAAGATTTTAGGAAACCAAACAGAAGCAAATAATGTTCATCATTTTGGAGCAGAAAAAAACCAACACACTCACAGAGCTCCTGGAACAAACAAACCAACCAAACCAAAAAACAAACCAAAAAAAAAACAACCCCAGTACAACCCCAAAACACATACCAACGGTTGCAAGGAAGATATTGTCTTATAATGCCATAAATAGTTCAAATCTGGCAGTGCAGACAAAGGAGAAGTCGTGACTGCCACAAAATTGAGGTTTCTAAGAGGCAATTATGATTGTAGGCATCCATTATTGCACAGTCAGAACTTCATTAGTCCATGTATGTAATGCATGAGATCACTGGATTTTCTTCAATGCTGTTTAGTCAAAGTCCCACTTGAGGGGAGGGCATGGGGAAAAGGAAAAAAAAAGAAAAAAAGAAAAAAGAAACAAGCCTCTTGGCAGCAGACAGTAATTGTCAACTTAAAACCAGTACCAAGTAATATCTACCACAAAGCTGCAACAATTTGAACAACCCAAGCAGCTGCTGATGAAACAAGGCAGCAACAGATGTGCATACACAGTGTACAGGGGACACAACAGTACAAGTATAACTCTGTTCCAGAATCCAAAGTATTACCAGAAAGCTTATCAGGACTCAAAAGCATTTCAAATTACAACCACAAATTAAAAAGAATACCCCCACCCCATCTCACAAGGACTGGGAATATAAACTTCAGAAGCAAGAAATTATTGAATTACAATGCAAAACTATTAATTAATAAAACCATTAAAATGTTAAGATCATACAAACATTGCTTGTCATTAGTTTCAAAGGGCAATGCAAAATCCTCAAAATGCTAAACCCACACACACAACAGGTCATTCTCAGTCAATATAAAGACTTAACACCAACAAACCCATAATTAAGTGTCTTAACAACCAGATGTAGTTAATAAATTAAACAAATACTGCTGCTCTTACACCACTCAAGAAAACGCAGCATCATGCAAATCTCTTTCAACCCACATTCTCTGGCATGAAACATGAGCTGTAACAAAGCCCAGGTGAAACCCTGTGATTTGGAACATTCTATCTCCTTCCTAGGATTCCTGTTTTGCAGCAAACCTAGCCCTACTCCAATACACGTCCCCTGATGCACCAAACTGGTACACACAGCAGGTGAGCTGGCACATGCAAAATTATTTTTTCATGGGTTATTCTAAAATTTGAGGAAGCAAGATTATTTCAATTATTGGCTCAATTAAGTCATTACAGTTAATTGAGTCACTAGCAGAAATAAACTTCAGTATAATTGACACTTCAAGTTTAGGAATTAGCTTCTATTTTGATTTCCTGCTTATTTTTTTCCTTTTTCTCATCCTAGAGAATAATTTAACCTCTACTTCTCATAATACAGAGCTGAAAGACGTTCAGTCTCTCTTCATGTAGTCCATCACAAATGTATTAAGGTCACCTTATGTTTTAAGGCAGAGATATCATTAAGACCTTTACTTATGCCATGACAATGGACTCTCACCTTCAATTACACAAAATAACACCTCCCCAAGAAATCACCAGTATTTGTCTTCCCTCTTGTCTTGGTTTTGGCTGGGATAAAGTTTGTTTCTCCTTGGGAGCACAGTGCTCTCCAGGGTGGGAGGAAAGTGAGCCACTGGTTGCATGGTACACAACTGCCAGCTGGGTTAAATCACAGCACATCTGAAGCTACAAAGAAAATCTGAAAATAAAATCCCCAAGTACTTCTGTCTGCACACAGAAAGTTGGAATAAATGCAGTTAGGGTCCCCTGTCCAAAGGGAAGGAGAAGGCACTGCCTTGATCTGAGTCACAGTCAGTCTAGTACAGTAGACTTCAATGATGCAAGCACGCAGTCTGTAATCAGTGTGTTCCCTCTGCTGCCACAGACAGGTGAGAGGACCTCATGTTATCGCTTCCCATCATTCAGCCACATGTGTTGAAACATGCCTCAAAAGGATAAAGGATGGTTCCAAAGTCTGACTGAAGAGTACAGCCCTTCCTGTTTTTACAGCACTGGATCACATTCCCTTTGGAAGCATCCAGTATCTGATGAATGTTTAAAGACTCTCCCACACATGTAAGCCTTGGCGACCACCAGGATTAACAACACGCACAATGACCATTTGTTATGTAAAATATGATGGCAGAACCACTTTTCCCAAATCAGATGTCTCCCTTCCATTCAATACAAAGAGCTAGGACATTTACACCACCACTCTGTGCTTTATTATTGTGTCATTTGCAGCTTACTGCTGTATCAAAAGCAATTATTACATGTATGTATCAGTCTGTACTCCATATTAAGAAAAAAAAATCAATTAGACTGTTTCTGAAAACATGACTACACAAGAACTTCTTTCCTCATACAAAGACAGCTAAAATACATAAATAGAATACACATCACAAATAAGAGAATTTAAATATATTCCTATAAATAAAATTACTAAGTATGGTCTTTATAAGCATTTTTCTTTTGCATACACACCGAGAATCTCAGATTCTGAGCATATGTTTATACTACACAAGCATTGAACATGACACATTTTTCTCCTTTTTCCCAAGCTAATCAATTCCACATAGCTTTCTCCAGTTTGATTCAAGTTTATCTCAGTATATAGTTCTCAACTCTTCAGAAGCTAAAATATATGCCTTTTATACCAAATATTCTACACTCCAAAAGATTCTAACCTCCTTGCTACCAATTCAGATTCACCACCAACAATGATGTGTCATTTCAACAGATAAGGAACTGAAGAAAACATTGCCTCTAACAATGTCTTTCTCCCATATGCGAAATGGAGTGTCTGACTATTATATAAATCCATTGTAAACTGCTTTCAGAAAATCCCTAAATAGGTATTATCAGAAAATGTAACTCTTGTACAAAAAGTTTCAACAGCAGCCCAGGCACAGCAGGTAAACACCCCACAGGGGCAATAAACCTTAGTAAAATCCTTCACATGAAACCATGCCCATTGTTACTTAGTTTTCAATTACTGCTTTTATTAATCCTACTTCCCCCCTACTGCTTACAGGAGGGGAAATGTTATCACTGCATGAAAGATGCATGTAACAGCTTTAAGATTATGTTTTTTTCCCTTTGCACGTGAATGAATGGTTGATAGTCTCGAACATAATTAAACCAAAGATGTTTAGCATTTTCACTTTGTGATATTGTCAAAATATGACAGTACTACCTGCCAGAAAACCATACCATGAAGACCTAAACCATCAGTATCAGACAACAAGAAGTGTTTAGGTTTCTAAAGCATTCCTTAAAGACATTTGTTCATGCATTCCTCGGAGGAAATAAAAAAATTAGACAGTTTTCAAGAACAAGAAACAAGTAAATTCAAGAAGTTTCCTAAGGCCAAGGAAGGACTTGTGAAAATGACAGTCTAATGAGCAAGAACAAGGTAAGAACCAGATATGGCAGCCCTTCCTGGTGTTAGGGCTGCACCTCAGTTACAAGAAGGAAAATACAAGAACAAAACCTCTTGCAATGTCTACGTACAGCAACTGGGATTCTTAAAAGATTTTTTCCTGGGCACCTCAAATACTACCCGAATACTACCATCCAAATACTACACATATAAAAGTCTGCTGCCAATTTTTGTTGAGAAGCCAAAATTACCCAGATTCTCAGCACTTAACCTTTCATTTCAGTATGAAGCTCTTGACAGTGGTCTGTCCCAGGTGCCTTAGAGCAAAGTGTTAAAACCAAAATAAAACACAAAACCAACCCCAAAAAATTCTCAATAAAAAGTCCAAAACCAACACAGAAACTTGGAGTTGAATTAACTATCTGGGGAAAAAAATCTTACTAACATTGGCTATATAGCAATTAACCTACACTTCACTTTCCAAACTGCACCTACTACGAAATTTTTGAAGATGTACCTTTCATTTTATTACCCTGTATTAAAAAAATCCACACCTCCTAAAAACTCCACTAGGCCCCGGCTTCAATCTCTTTGGAACATATTCAATTGTCTACACTGTTCACTGTGTAGAAAAACACCTCAGTTCTCAATTTGCTGACTTTGACTCAAGCATTCCAAGAAATTAAAACAGTTACTATTGCATGCTACAAAGGAAACAGCACACCAACTATGCATTGCTACAGTTGAATATCATGACTTCCACAACATGAAGTTTGCAGGAACTTCTAAAGAAGAAGGATTTTGAACTTGTTGATTCATTGGCCAAGTATAACTACTTCTTTTGATTTTATCAAAAAGGATGATTTACAAAGTCAGTTTTGTAAACGACCCTCTGGGACAGACACTTGGAACATAACACATCACTGTCCTTTTTTTTAAACTTGTTTTCATGACCACAAGTTGTACAACCTGTTATCTGGCACAGGTATCTTCCACTAGACACAGGAAAAAACAAAACCAAAACAACAAAGCAAAAAATGAACAAGTAAAGCATACATAGAATAAAGGTCAAGGTGTCTTTGGAATCTCCACTCTCAGTGTTCACAGATACACAAGCAGGCAAGAAACTGCCACTCGAGCCTTTCTTCCTCTTCATCATATTGTTAAAATCTGTGTAGATGGGACCACACAATTCAAGTGGTAGCACTCTCAAAGGTTAGAGACACATGGGATTGCACAGAGAAATAAAGCCTGTAGAAAATAAACAACCCTGTCTTCCAGTAGCATTTCCTGAGATCTGGAAGCTGGGAGTTACATCCAGTCCTCCAACAAGAAAGTCAGCAAGAAGAAACCCAGAAGTATTTCCATCCTCATGGTTCCTTGTGTCTATAGACAAATAATCTACATGAAGATGTCCAAAGTCCTACAGATATAAAAACCAGAAAACTCTGCAAGTTTGCTGAATATAATATTAATTTGTTCAGCTATTTTGTTAGGACTGTGAAGGACAAATAGTCCATAACTTTAAAAAGTTCCAGGAAGACATTTTAAATAGACCAAATAACAAAATTTCAGTTTGAATTTCACATTGATCTATTTTGATTACAATTCAGGTATTGGTATGTGTGATCAGTTTTCTACCTCAAAAATGCCTATTTTCATTTTACATTTCAGTTCAACAAAGAACTCCAACCACAGCATTTCCACCTTTGTATAAGTTCTGCCATTTCTAATCCATGAAGTTTGGTATAAGGAAGTACAACATCTAATACAATGCACCATGAAATTCCTTTAAGCCTTTATGAAATAAATGCTAAAAACATTGTTTAGCATTTAAGATGACAGTGACACTTTTAAAACCTCTTTAAAGCTGATACAAGTGCATTTTGTACTCCTTGTCAATCTGAGAGGGTAGAAAGGAAAACTAATCATGCTAACAGTGCTACTACAGTAACACTGCTTATAAATACTCACAATTAACTGCTTTAAGTGTTCCATTTTTGTAATTTAAATTATTCCTTCAGACAGCATAGCTCCCAGCAATGACCACATCACCGCCTACACCTCTTTTTAGAGTTATGCTTTCTATTCTAAGCAACTTAGTACAATCTCCCATGAGTCATAATAGCAAAATACTAGTTGGAAGAGTTTTCCAGTGGGATGAGTAAGGAGAAGCAGAGGGAAAAGAATTCACTCAGTTGCTATCAGGTGAATTGTGAAAACTTAAAAAGGAAATACAGATTTTCATTGTTTCCATAAATAAAAAACTAGGAACACTTGTAAAATTTTTCTGATGTCATAAATAATGCAAAGTGACATGAATTAGGATTTAAACACCCCAGGCTCAAAAAAAATAAAAATAAAGGATTACTAAAAAGCCAATGCAGCTTCTAACTTCTCATGTACCATTTACTACTGCAGCATTGTAAGCATGAAGCCACCATACTTTTCAGGTATATAAATAAAGTAGCATAGTTATTATAAATAAAGTAGCATCACAAACATACACAGGTACAAATACACAATTTTGGGAACTTTAAAAACTGCTATTCTCTAAGCATTGCAAAATCTTCCATCTATTTTGCTCTGTATTTTAAAAGCAGCATTGTAAAATCAGTCTTTAATAATTCTGAAAATCTTGCAAAGCTGTTAAAGTACAACTCATCTAGTTCATGTTAAAAATAGCAAATGCAACAAAGTCCAGCAATTAGTATTTTAAAAAAGAAAAGTTTACACAGGATACAAATAAAATCACATCCATAAAGAAAAGGCTCTTTAGCTGAGTTCTGGGTAAACTTGGTTTTTCTGTTTTCTGCATTTCTGAATTACAGAAATTGCCAGCAAAATTTCACTGAAAACATTCAGGAGCACAAAAACGTTTTACAAAAGGATCATTCCAGAATCCACTAAAAAAAACCAAAATCCTTGATAAATAAAATAAAAAAGTCTTACCAGTGAATCAGAAGTCAATATACTGAAGTATAACATTCTGACCACAACTTTTAATGGGCCAGAAAAAGCATGAAGAGCTAATGATATTTAGACAGAAGATCAAGACAACTGATCTACTAAACAACAAAACTGATGGAATGAACAAGGGAATTACTGGTCAGGCAACAGATGGCAGTAACTACCAAAAAACTCAACAAATCCCTGATATACAGATTGCTGTGAAAGTATAAGGAGGTGTCATTATCTGCTTTCCCTCCTGTAACAGCTTCTCCCTTAAGCATCTGTTACCAGGTTTTATTGAAGACAAATACTGTATTAAAAGAGATCTATCCGGCCTCTAAGGGGAATTTTTGTGTTCTTAAAACTAGAAATCATATTGTGTGAGGGTTTTAATTGTAAGAATACAAATTGTTAATACACTGGAAATTAATGAGGATTATATTCTGGTTCTATTATTTTTACGTAGCTGCTGAAAAACACTTGTGACATTTTCCTGCACTGAAACAGGAAAACCTACCCATTCCATGAGCCAAGTGATTCTCACACACTCATTGATTAGATGGCCCTGAGCATCCCTATTATTTCCATCTCCTACTTTTAAACCACCTGCGTGAAGATTTGCACCAGAGACTCCTGCCAGTACCAGGCCTATTCCACAGCAAGGCTGTTAACTGAACAATGCAAGGTACTTCCACCTTCTCTCATGTTACACACCACAGTCCAAAAGCAAAAGCTGGAAAACCACAAGTTTGCCATATACTTGTACCAAAATCAAGTGTAAAAACACTCTTGGCAATGACTGCAATATTTTTGTATTAAATCAAATAGTCACCTATGCTTTGTATATTCAGTTCTCACTCAGCTTACATTCAGGCGTGGAACCTGTAAAAGTTAAGCTGCCTTTTCAGAAATAGATAGATGAACTTCAGTGGCCTAACCACAACGAAGTTATAAACACAACAGTCTCTGGAAGATACAAGACAATTAACAACAGTATGTCTGATTTGAAGTTCAAATTACAAGAGTAAAATTTAAAAAGCACCTATGTCTCATCTGATTAGAAACAGCACAACTTACCCTGATTTTTCTTTTTCTTCACCATCTGCATTTACTGTAGGATTTTCCATTTCTTTGATCTTCTCCTCCTCTTTATCTTCCAATTTGGTTTCATCTTCAGTTTTGATTACATTTAAGTCTTTTTCTTGATCAGGTTGAGTAAACACAGAATCTGGCAAATTTTTTTTGTTTCCCTAGGATAACAAAACATTTAGTTAACTCAGGTGAAAACAAAGGATTTAAGGAAAGGCAGACAAAACACACTGAAGTTGTAAGAGCAAAACAGTGCTACGGTGTGGGGCTTGTCCTGAAATTACAGCACCTCTGCTGCTTTTCCTTTTGAAAATCTTAAGATACACCTAACAGTTTAAAGTGCAGCCAGCGTCCTAGCTTGTTTTATCACAATGATACAGGCATGCAGCTCTTAGACCTGGACTGCAAAGCAATTCCCAAGACAAACACTTCACAAAGCATGTTTCCACTTGGGATGCAGGAATACCAGTACTAGCCTGTCTGCCATTCCTCCCAGAGAATACCAGCACACAGACCAGAGCTGCCTGCCACTTACATGCAGAAGTATTACAGCTGTGTTGCACACTGACTTGAGGAGCTACACTGCTTCCACAGCAAACACTGAGGCCTGTACACTGCAGCACATCAGTTTATGGCCCGGAACTTCCTTTGCTAAAGCCATTGAGTCAACAGTGGGTTTTGAAAAGCCATAAACATTTGTCTCTCTGGACCACCACCATGGTCTCTAAACTACATTGGATACAATATGGCCCAGGTCTTTGTAGAGCTTCACTGACTACACTGGAACACAGAAGTAACTGCAGAATTTATGAGGGCTTACAAGCATAGCTAAATGAAAATATCAGCACATAGTTATATCAGCAATATAGTGAGCTGTGAGCATGCATTACCCAGATAAGGATAAAGCTGGACACTAATAAGTCTCCATTTCACCCAGGAGGCCCTCAACCAACTGGAATGATGGAGCTGTTTTCTAAAAAGTCAGACATTTTGACATCACAACCTCCTGAAACAGGCACCTAGGGTAAATATAGCTGAAATGTCTTTTCCTGAATTTCCTGAATTAGGTTTACAGCGAGCTTTTGTCTTATTTTAAATCCAACAGAAATTTCAATCTTTATATTAATTCACAGTTATTAACACACCAACTGACTTTATAAGCTGACTTTAATAAGATATAAGATGAACTTTAAAATATATTACCAGAACAGAGGGCTTATCATTTTCTTTACTTTCATTATCATTCTCAGCCGACTTTTTTTCTTCTTGTTGTACTACTGCTACTTCCTCCTGCTTGCGCTCGTCCTTGTCCACTTTTATCTCTTTTGCATCCTGCTCTGGTTCTTCACGTATCTTCAATTCTTTTTCTTTTTCACAGTCTTTACAAGGCTTGTTCGTCACTTTCTCTGGCAATGCCATTTGAAATTCAATGTTAGCTGATGTACAATACTCTTCAAAACCATAGAGATATCTAAAAAAAGAATTGTTTGTGATAAGCAAGTTTGATTCAAGAAGGAAAATCCAACCTAGAGATGTTAAACATGGGCAGCAGGTTTAAAGGCTTAAAAAATGTATTACAACCAAAGAGTTATGGATTTTTATATATTACTCCTAGCACAGGATCACTTCAGTTCACTGTAGTTTTAGCATAAACTTCATGGTTTTATTACTTACTTTCTGTATGCACATTTAACATTATATCCTGCAGCCGAATTTAATACAGGGATTCCAAGATCTTGATAAACTTGCTTCCACACCGCTCCACTTTCAATCTGTTAAAGACAATGAAATCAATGTTTATGAATTAATTCACTGACAAAAAAACTCCAAAATTGACAAAGTTTACAGCTTCAGAAAATAAATGTAAGTAATTTCCTCTGATCTATAAAATTACTATTTATCACACACACAGTATTTCACTGTAATGCAAACTGTAGTCTAATGCAATTACTTTAAGCAATTTAGCATTCCTGCAATGCAACAAGCCACAGCAGGCTTTCCTCTCCAGGTGGCAATAAAACAGAGGAAAGAAAATATAACTATCAGAAAAAAATCAGTACATCATTTTTATTTTATAGTTAAAGTAATTCTGAACTATCAGAGCTAGAATTTTAATTAAATTGCAAAGAAAAAAATAAGTCAAAGCATTAACAACACTCAGCCCTGGTAGTACTGTACCAGACATAGTGCCTACCAGTCTTTCATTACGTCCTTAGTGTGCCCTTTGGTGACAAAGTGTTGTGATGTGCCCATTTCTAAACATGTCTGAAGGTAAAGCAGATGTACTGCAATACCCAAGTACCACATCCTGTCTATCAGGAAGGTGTCACTGCTCAAACAGACCTCCTCAGCTGACAGGCTACATTTATGGGAAGCAGTTCAAAGCATGAACAGAATCTGCTTGGCCATGAATTCAATATGTTTCAATTACTCCTCCCAAGACTGGTCTCACTAATCCCAGTCAGCAAATTCTTCTTTACACTGCCCAGAATAAATAGAAATTAAGGGCCTCACATCAGGCCACTAAATTGGTTGTCTTTGAGATTTTACTCAGCAGTGGCTCCTTTCACTTAGAGGTAACAACTTTAGCAGACAAATGTTTCTTGAAGTATTACAAAAACACACATGCTGGCTGATTTTATGCAACAATAATTAAACATGCGGAGTGGATGTGTAATTTAGCATCTAATTCGGGTTTGTGTTAAAGCATGGTTTTTAGAGCTACAAGGTGTCTTACGCTGTCATAGTAGAAAACTTTCATACATCTAAAGGTCCTGTGTTATTTTTCAGTACTTTACAGAGTAATAAATTATTTCACAATAATGAACAGCATCCTCCGGTTTTACGGCTCTGGAGTACTCATCATACTAATACTCACATTATCAAATCCTCCAAGCTTGTGTACAAGTCTGAATAACTTGAAGAGATTCAAATTTCTATATCCTAATACAGGTCGTTTGTTAATAGGAGTCCCTGGATAACAAAGACAGTTGTTAGGGTGTTTTGAAGTCTTTTTTTCCAGAATAACATGAAATTCACACCATATGCACTATTATTAAATACAGTATTTTAAACTCCACCTCCTGCATCTGGTACTTTCTTTTCATGAAACTAAAACTCTTGAGTCTTACTGAACTAGACGGAAAATGGGTTGTTATTTAATGCATATATATGCATTCCTCCATACATTACTGAACATGCAGAAATGATGCAAATTTTCTTGCTAACTATAGTATACATAGTTTCATTTCACCCACTGAAACAATTACATCTAAAAATACAATAGTCCTTTCACTGATACTAAAAACAACCCAACCCAACCCTTACCAGGAGCAATCCCACAATGCTTCAAGAGCTGAAACTTCCTGTGCTACTGTACTAAGCAGTAGCTATCACATTATCATCTCTTGTGAACAATTTAACTCATTACATATGGCATTAAAGATACTAATTTAACCAGTTATAATAGTAATTTAAATACAGATACCCTAACTCCTGCCTCTACAGACACTGCACTTTTTTTGCAGTATATCAAAACCTGGTAAAGATTTAACGTAATGAATAGTATTGGCTTTAAAAACATCTCAATCTACAGATAATGTTCATGCACTTAAGTGATCAGGATTCACAAAAGAAAATTAGTAAATCCATTTTTCCATGACCCAAAAGGTGTGTTGGTATTTGAAAGTTATTAAACTGAGAATAAAGATTCATATGATTGAGAGTATTAAATGTTTGATTTTATACACTGTAAGTACACTATTGCAAATACAGTACAATATATGCAAAACATAATAATTTTTATACATCCATTTAATTCTGAAAGGAGAAATATGGGACTGCATTTTAGGAGATGAGTCAAGTGACAGACTCATCTTCCAAACAGTAGGGACGTCAGAAGGCATGAGTTTCCCTGTTTCCAAAACTGTACTGCAAAGCACTACTAATTTACAGACTCAATTTTTCACAGCACTGGTAATTAAAATGCCTACCTCTGTCTTCCATGAACTTGTACAATTGCTGAAGAAAGTTCTCTCGTTCTTCAGGAAACGGCTCTATTTCCTCCTGTTTAAAGCAATGCATGCAAGAAAACTGTCACCATTTTGAGTTGCAGTCCTTCATTAGGAAACATAAGGCAGTGATAATTTAGGTTTAAATGTTTAAGTTTGTTTTACTGTAGTCAGCAACAGGATGCAGCACAGAGCAATACATGCTCTCAGTGCTATGCCACATGAAGCCAAGTTTTATAAACTACAGTGTTTCAAAATATATAAAACATTGACTGTAAACATACATCGAAATTGGATTTTTTACTGATCACTGCAGTATCGTAAGTAATACCATAGATCAAGATGTGCTCTCAATTTCGTCCATTTATGCAGAAAGTCTGGGAGACAGCACTATTAATGACCAAGAGATTAGATCTGAAATCTCAGCTCTATTTCTACTGCAGTTAAGTGACTCCTTGGTTCCTGGATAGACTACGTCACTTTCAGAGATGAAGTCAAAGAGCAAATGGTGCTTTCACTTTCTTAGGAGTTCTAATCCACTGCACTGGCAAACCGCAACCAATGGCACTGCATGCGAACTGCCATGGGGTACCAGCTGAGCACGTGCTGAGCAGGATCAATCCCAGAACTGAAATAACAACGGATATTTTGCAAGTTCAGTTCATTGCACTAATAAACCTTTGTATTAGATTTACTTAGATTAACATACACTGGAGTTTCATAACAAAGCACTATGGCTTACTTTATAACACCTCATAATTTCCTTCGGAAATGGGGCTTGCCACAGCTAGTAGCAATAAGATATTAATATATCAAATTCTGAAGAAATTCTGATGACTGAGCTACTGCAAAACAATACTCCAAATATGAGCTGATTAGTTTTTAATATACCTGTAGAGTTTCCAAAATTAACTAGTTATTCAATAATCTATATGAAATTATTTTTCTTTAGTGTATTTGCATTCCATGTTCATCATTTCCATTCTTCAACTGTCTCCTTGTACTAAATATTAAAGCTTCACCTACCCTGAAGCAAGGGGAAAAAACATACTGTCTTTAAAGTCATACTAAGACAGTTGAGAAAACAACAGAAACAGAATATCATTACTAAACAGAACTGGGAAAAACAAACACAAACAAAAACAAACCCCAAACCCACCAACATCTGAATCTATTTTATAAAGAGATGGATGGCTGAAAATAAGGTCAGGAAAGGCTGTAACTATTACCAAGGACTGGAGATTTTTCTTATTCTGTACTTCCTCTTACCCATTAAATGCACTTGGATGACATCAGAGCAAGCAGGCAAAAGAATTAAGAACCACTGTTCACAATATGCTGAAACAGTTGCCCTTCAGGTATAATTAACAACAGAAATGCAATGAAAATACTCCAATCTTGAAAAGGCAATGCCAGAGGAAAGTCTCTGCAAGGGGCATTATATCATGGGCATTGGACACCCAGTGTACCAGCAGAGCTCAGAGCAGGCAGCTTTGACGGGCAAGGACAGGCTCGGTAGAGAACTGTATATTAGAGATCGTTTTCACAGGGCAGGGGCACCAGAAACCGGCACATCTAGCCCAATTCCTCTCTGACAGGTACAAGGTGATGCTTCAGCCCTGGGTGTAGTACAGATAAAAGCCTAGTTAAGAACACTTATATTGCACAAGCCATGGAGAACAAATTATTTGGGTGGAATTAAACTCCAAAACAGGGTAAATTTTTTTTTTTTTTTTTTTTTTTAATCTCTCATAGCAGGTACTTGGAAAGGACTTTTACCAGATCATGAGCAGCTACTTGGGTTTCTCATGTTTCTCAGCAACAAGAAAAACATGCTATAGACATTAGTCTCAGAGCATTTGGGGGAGGGGTGACAGATGTCACTGAACAAAACCTTCAGGAAACCAAATAAAGTTTTGAAGAAGGAATGTACTCTTTTTAAATACAGGGGGAGATAAGGTAAAGGTGATGAAGAGGCTGAATGAAACTCTCCTTTCCTACTATACAGTCCAATGCCTGAAGGGTAGTCCTACATCTCTAATGTGATAATTCACAGAGGTGCCAGAATGGCAAGTGAATGAACAATCCTTATTCATTTTTCCAGTAGAGAACAAAGTAACTTTCTAAGAAAGTGTGCTTACATGAAAAGCTTAGGATCCTGCATGCCTCTGAAAAGTGTTTACACTTTCTCAGAATTTCTATAGAGCCAATATGTATTACGCTATACTAATAGTATCTGTTAATAATCTCTTAAACTGGTTAGACAACAAGGTTTACTAGATAATGGTTTGAAGCAGGCATGTCACACTGTCATATTTGCTTATTTTCAAGTTAGACAACCAGAACACTAGCTGGCCACTCTAGGAGCTCAAATGTATCTGTCTATGCTACAAGTTAAAATAAAGTGGCTTCTACATAGGATAATAAAATCCAGGAAAACAACAACGTGTTTTTTGCAACACAAATTCACACAGTACCACAGCTGTACTACAGCACAGCACTGGAAGAGAGGGTCTTTGACAACTCTTTTACCTACCTACGTCACATTTGGTAAAGTAAAGGAAGGCCATTTTCCAGTCTCTTCCATCAGAGGAAAAAAACAAACAAGGCAGCAACTACTCTTCTTAGAAGACAAGTACAGAGGATTTGCATGCCAACTCCTATTTATATATGATGGAAGCAGGTATAGAGATACGAGATAGAGAAGAGCATTTACGTATCTACAGAATGGGATGTGAACAAATACATAGGATAGAAGTATCTATTTTTGAAGGCTGTAGTGACATCTTTAAGAGCTTAAGTTTTCTGCTTTGTTTTGTTCTGGTTTATTGGTAGTAGGACCACATGGATGGCCTAAGGGCCACCAGTGAGAACTGCTCATGTCTCGGGAAGCAGTAGAACAACCTTCAGGTGGATAAAGTCCCAAGAGCAGGCTCACAGTTCCTGTTTGGGAAGAGATGCTGCTTGATAACCAGGAGGTTATAAGCACAAAATAACAGACACAAAGAGGAGAAGCTGCAGAAACTGCTCAAATATGGGTGGAGAGAAGATGCGTGTCACTGAACACCAAGGAGAGAGAAGAAGAAAAAAAGTAAGTGAAAAAAAAATAAATTTTGCTTCTGTTTTTGAAACTTCTTACAAGTGACAGAAATCACTGTTTACTGTAGAAGATGATACAGTAAATTTAAAAATATTTGTCTGACATGAAATCTTTATGTCTAGCACATGGAAAGATTAGCTCAAACAATGTCACATGCAGCTAAGGGGAGCTCAAGAGGTGCTGAAAGAGTACAAGGTCAAATGTTTACAAACGCTGTAGCTAAAGGCTCTGTATTTTTCACCTAAAAATAGTGTGGGGAACAACCACTATATAAAGATGATGTGTCTTTCTGCATAGACACAAACCTATCTACGTGTATCATGTTCATGGCTGGATGTGAACCTGCTGAGAAAGTTCAGAAATCGTACTGAGCCCAAGAATGCTCAATTCCTTGCTTCTCAAAATCCTAAACAGAGTATCATCCTAAAACATGCCCCCTGAAAACTTTTGATCAGAGCTGGATAATCTTCTGAGAGCTTAAAGACAAGGAAGAAAGAAATTATAAGCATGGAGAGGTGGCAAAGTCATAACTTCACACTTTTGCAGTCTCCCAACACGTTTTCAAGAAACGAATGACTGAAAGATGAAACACTCTCTTATGGTATGCCAGAGCCACAATATCCAGGGAGGATGCACTGAGAGAAAGACCCTAGCACAACCATTTAAGACCCAAACCAGTTCAGTTTCTTATTTACAATTCCCTTACTAACATGAAATTAAGTCTGCTGCACTACTGGCACTTGCTTAAAAATTAAGAAAACTCTCAAACCCTGGCAACAGAAGAAGTTTTTGAGGGAAAAGTTTATTACAGCAGATACAAATTTAGAGTACTACAAGAAGGTACAGAGAAGTAAAAAGCCTCTCTTTCAGCCTCTCAGCCAGCTGTGAAATAAAGTTCTTTCCACTAATTTTCTTCTTTTCTCATCTTCACTTTTTTTTGGGCTAGGAGGCTGGGAGTAAAGAACAGATGATTAGAAAACCAAGCATGAGGTGGGAACTCCATACTTGCAGAACAAAAAAGAGAAGAGAGGTGGAAGTGGAGTGCATGGGCTAACACCCTGATTGAAATTCCTTCTGCTTCTTTACACAGGATGGCCAGAGAAACAGCTTGTGATGAAGCAATTCTTCAGCAGACCAGGGAAAGAGCAAGTTACTCAATAATGCCTATGTTAAAAGCATTGTCTTTGTTAACACATTCCGTGTTCCCTAATTTTAAAAAGGCCTACTTAAATACATACATTCCTGCTAACTTTTATCAGCTGTGCATCTATGGCCTTTACTAATTTCACTTGCCTCTTCCTCACTGCTGTTATCCTCTTTTTCTTTTTCATCCTCTTCCTCCTCTTCAGCTTCACTGCTGGAGCTGTCTTCTTTCAATTCTGTTTTCCAGTTACTAGGAACAGTTCTGTTTTTACGGAATTCAAGTGCTTGGTCAAAAGCTGTAAAAGAACCAGCCTTTGTTAGCACTGCAGGAAGCATCAGTTTGCACAAATATTTCAATTAAAAAAACAGTGATCAGGGGTGATGGGGAAGAGAAGAAGAAGGAGCGACTGCTAACTAAGAATTCCATTCCCAATTCAAAGAACCTCAACAACCACTCCATTTTGTCCAATCCAGTCAAACTGGCCTAGTGTTCTCTGCACATCAAGGCACTCAGAGCTATTACTAGTATCTTTACCATGTTACTGTCTACAGTAGGATCTTCTGCATAGAGCATAAATGAAAATTTAACTGAAGAAATCCCTATCCAACAGGTTTACACTGCAGTTTCTATATATCAAATAGGGAGGGCAAGGAGGAAGAAACAATCACCAGCTAATTCTCAGAGTTTCATCACACAAGCTTAACCTTTCAAATGCACCCACAGTTCCAGATTTTCAAAGTTCATTAAGGCAACTTACTTAGAACTATTAGGGGCTCTACTGTGAGAATATTTCTATAAAGTTCTAAAGCAAAATGAAAAATCTATACAACCAACGTGTGCATGTTTGGCATGTCTACACTTAAAGTCAGTGCAGAGCAAGTGAGCTGCTGTTTTTGGGGGTTTTGTTTACTTAGGTTTTATTTGTTTTAAAAAAAAGTTCCTCTAACTTTCCCTAAGTATTCTCCTTCAATATTATTCTGTAACAAAAGAGCCTATATTTTAGGATCTTTAAGACATGAATCAATCTGCCATAGATTTAGTGAAATTCATGTAACTAAGCAAATACATACAAGTGTTTCTCACAGAAAGTTATTTTTACCTTGTTTTAACAAAGTGTCAGGCTTTGGTGAAGTTTCATTGATTTCCCGGACATCTTTTCTTGGCACAGAAACGCTGGATAATTTAGAAAGTGTTAAAAAATTAAAATATTTTAAAGGTAAAATAACTATACAATACAAAGCTACCACTAAGATTATAATACACTTACTAAATATACATAAGAAGCACATGAAATATATCTTCATAATTCTACAGTGTTAGTCTGGTACAGTATTAATCAGTAGATTAAAACCAAAACTTTTATATTAAATTAATTAAACTATATGCATTCATTGTGTATTATAGAAAGCATGTTATTTCCACAAATATGTAGTTTCTGGAATCTCCCATATATGTATTACTTTAAACCCTCACATTAACTTAACAGTAGTTTAGAACTGTACCTTGCTTAAAACATAAATGAGTATTAGTGTAAATTGTCAATATGAAATTAAAGACTTCCAAATTGAAAGAGCAAAGTACTTTCTGACTTCTACTTTGTCTATAACCAAGGAAGCAAAAAAATTGCAGCTCTGGAGGACTGGGATGTAGGTATGTGCTTGTGTGCACACATATTATGTGTGTTCCTTGGGTGATGTGCGCTGATGCCTGAAAAACTATCATATGTAAAGCAATACCCTAGACTTAGTAAGTAATTAAACCATAACAAAACTGTTAATACTTCAATATGCTTCCTGCAAAACATTATGTTAAACTGAACTAAGCACAATAAATAGCTGCAACTTTTGGAATAAAAACTAAAACCTAGAAAAAGAATTCTATTGTTGTGAGTTTAAGAACACAAAGTTCTTTATTTTGTTGCAAATACCAGACAGTCTGGTTTCTACGTTTCTCTATCCTTTTTCCCACTTTGAGTATCACTACTCTTTGCAAGGAGCATGATAAGATGCAGTTGCAAGTCTAGATTGAGATAAACATATGCCTTACTACCTTCAAACAAGAAAGACGATTTCTGTGTGTGTGTGTGTGAGTGTGTGTGTGTGCGTGCGTGTGTGGTGTACGTGCAGGCATGCACACATCCCCACCGACCCTTCTGTAGCTGTATAAGCTTACAGCCACTTCCCTGAAAAGCACTGCTCTATTCCAGCCACAGCAGGAAAGAGTTTCAGGCCATTCTTGAAGTCACGTAATACTGCCGTGTTTGCCACAATTTTAACAATGAAACTAAGACAGATAGATTTGTGCATCCCATTACTAATAATGATAAAGTTCAAGACTAATTTCATCACCATGTAGGCTGTTAACAGTTTTTTTTTGAACATTAGAAAAATCTTGGCAGGAACTTACTGAGCTTTATGATATATTAATACTTTACCCAACACATCTCATGCTACATTTCACTTTAGGTATACATTTTGTTCAATTATCAAACTCTACTTTCCTACTCACAATTTGCCATCCTTGAATGAGCGAACAAGAATATTGTCTTTTTTCACCGCAATATCATCACTACAGTCTGGACAAACCACCTGCAAAGGTATTACAATTGCAAAGTTTAGAGAGAAAAAGCTAAAACAAAAGAGTCATAGTAAATATCAGTGTTTCTCTAAAAGCTTTTGTGCTCATTTCTCATTGGCAATCCTGTAATGAGAGCAAGTGAGATCCCTCAAAACATAGGAGTCATGACCTCCTGAAATTACTGAATGCCTAAGGTCATGCTTGCTCCTGGAGGGAAACTGATGGCTGCTACCAGAAACATAAGAACATTCTGACAAAAGGTCAGTTTGTCATGCCTCTACAGCTCATTCTACTCCTCATCCTAAAAGGACAGAAATTTCACCAAGTGCTGCCACCTGACTTAGAGACTTCTTTTGAAAACTTCTGGAAATGGCAAGGATGTGATTATACACAGCATCAAAACCAAAAGCTAACAGGATTTATGAAAATCAATTTTATGAGGGAAGACTTAGAAGTAATTTAGGAGAGAAGACCACTTCAAGTACAAGTATTATGACAGGTTCTTTAACTCAAGAAGTAGACAAATCAAGTCTAGCCCTAAGACAACATATTAATTATTCGTTGCAATTTTAAAAGCTATTTAAGTTTTGTTAAACCAGTGTACAAGTCACTAATCAAAAAGCTTCAAGAATTTAATTTTAAAAAAATAAATATAAGTAGCCAGAGATATAAAACAGAAAAACAACCCCCCTCCATCACTCATCTGATGTCTCATAATGTGCATAGTTCCTTGAAAGTTAGGAAAATTCTGGCTGCTACAAAACCTCAAGGAGCAGCAAATGACTGTAGCCCTAAGTTAGCCCAGGTAAATACCTCTTTTCTGTTAGACCAACTTTTGCCTTTCAGTCCAAATTTTTCACCAAATACAAAGATAGTCAATGGCAGAAGTTGGGGTTTTTTCCTGCTTACATACGTCACTGCCTATGCAGCATTTCAGGAGCTAAAGTCAAAAGCTCCAAGTGATTTTGAAATAGATTTACGTATCACAAATCATAGGCAGAATATGCTCCTCAAGACAAAATTTAACAGAAGTTTCAAAATTCAATGCATTATATGGTCTGCAAAAAAATTACTTTAGAAAACTACAACGTTCTAACTGAAATTAAGCTTGAGATATAGTTTACAGTGTCAGGGTAAAAGATGATGATTTTCATCCTCTATTTTAAACTGACAAGTGCAAACTCCTAGCTCTTTAAAGATGGAGAAAGGCTCTTCAGGCTTTAGCTACTGGTTTTCTAGAAGCATCAAGATTTTAGCAGTCAGAAATCTATTCAAAGCTTACTATAACCTCATCTAGTGCCTTTACATCAAGCAGCATCACCTCAATGTTGCCTGAATCAAGTTTTCTCAATTTCCTTGCAAAACAAACTCCAGTGGAGTCATAGGAGGATGAAAGAGATGATCCTATGTAAACTCAATTTTCTGAAAATGCTGCAGGATGATTTCCTCACTGCACCTTTTGAAAGCCTTTAAGTACACATAAAACTAAGCAATGCTATAAGACTTACTAAATCACACTCCTTGACATAAGGAGCAACTCTCAGACCCTTTTACAATTCCAGTTAGTCACTATACTCACACCTTCCCCACAGAACTAACAAAAACAAGCAAACAAACAAACAAAACCCACACCAACACGAACGTGTACAGGATTAAAACAATGCAGTCAACCACTGAGTCCTCAGAATAATTTTTACCAAATTGAGTTTTCTACAGTTTTACATTTCAAGTGATAATCTATCTGGTTATAGGCCTCATATGCAAAGTACTTGGTTTCCACTACTAATCTTAATTGTTACTTGCTGTAACGGTTTAGACTAATCCCTGAACTTGTTTGCAAAATGTCCTCTGTGCTTATATACAAAGTATCTGTATATAGTATCATTAATAAGAAATAATGCTGAGATACACATTCTTCAGCACATTAAACCTGAATTTTCATTACATTATTCATGTAATTACCATAATACAAAGTTAATGCAAAATTTATCAGTAATAAGATAAGATTACTTTGTTGATACAGTAGAGCTAACCTGCTTACACAGTAAAAAACACAAGAGGAATAGCTACTGGGGAGGGGATTACAACAATAAAAACCAAGCCAAACCAAAAAACGCAGCTATTTGAGGTATAAATCTGTCCTTTGGCTCAGCTGTTCTGGTTAAATGCAGCATGATGTTTGTTTGCAGAGCTATAAACCTGATTACTAAATTAAGAGTTAATCTAGGATAAGCTATTTCAGAGTTAACAAGCTTCACCCTCAAACTTTATCCCCCCACTGCTTTTCATTTGTTGCAGGAAGTTTTCCATGAAGAAGAAGCTATTCCAATCTTCAAAGGAAAGCCAAATAAATAATTGTGTATTTTTAGTAAGTCTTTGGAGCAGAAGCAACAATTCAGCTCCTCTTTAAGGTATGACACACAGCTGTCCTGAGCAGCACTACAAGAGTCACAAGCAATGCCCTCTCAGAGAGCCTGCCATGGAAACTGGTATCTGTCATGGGCATGACCAGAAAAGCAAATCCAGCAGTGGGACACAAAACTGCTCAAGCCAGTGTCACTGACCACTTCTCTGAGTGAATTGTGAGGCAGATGATACTGCATCATCTTGATGACAGCTTTCAGCAAACATCAAATTATTCTTGTTTATCACTGAAAACTCCTCTTAAAGCTATCTGCCGTAAACATGGTATCTCCTTGCTGTACATTCTGCCCTCCCCCTTGCAAAAAACACTTCAGTGACTCCCTCTCTTCCACAAACTTCCCCAAAAGAATTCCTACTGGAAAGCTGCTGGACTGCATTACAAGACACAGCAGGTGACAGGCAGAAAGCTGCAACTGAGAGCTATTGCACATACTAAGAGGAGTTAAATGTTACTGCATGGCATCATTTCAAAAGCAGAGCACAAGTTTCCCTAGATTACATAAATGTGTTAAGCTTTCATTGCCAGGAATTAATCAAATATTACAATTAAAAATAATGTAAAAATTTAAAAGCATGGTATTAGAAGGCACCACATACAGAAAGATATTAATTTCCAAATATATCAATCAGTGAGTCTACATGCAATCACTAGCTGTGATATTTTTTTAAAAGTGAATTTCTTAAAAAGCTCCTTTAAGTCAGAATAAAGGAAGAGAAAAAATACTAGTAACAAAAGGCTACAATGCAATTTTAAAGTAAATTTATTGTCAATTTTCCACAACCTACTGTAGTGACCAAGAAAAAAAACATTTGATTTTATTATCCAATGTGTTTCTATTGAATGCTGAAGAATCATGCCTATGTAATCACTAAACTTACCCTCCCTTTCTACTTCATATTTCCTTCCTTGATAAAACTCAGTAATTTGGAAAATTGACATGGAATAGCCTAGGAAAAAAGACCCTGAAATTCTAGTCCAATAGTACTGAAGACACTGTTGAGCTAGAATTAGGTCAACAGCTCTGTCTGTTTGGAAAAACTCAGGCCATGTCAGCAATCCCTTTTTTTTAAACAAACATATCTAGATATATTTCACTTGACTGTTATTCTACAGTCCAATTTGAAAAAAACATACTAATTTCTAATACAAAACACCAAAATGAAAAAAACCCACACCTTTCTTCAGTGCTTAGAAAATGACAGTTAGCTGTACAAAATTATAATAGAGATGGAACTCTTACCAAGGCTGGAAACCACAGAGCTTTCTTCTTATCCACACTGAAGCAGTCCACGCACACAACTTTCCCTAGTAACTCATCACTTTGTTTCCTTTCATCTTCATCTTCATCGCTGGAAGAGGATGAAGATTCTTCTTCAGGACTAAACAACAGAAAGAGACTTAAAACTTAACTATTCAAAACTTGCTTATTATAATTACAGGAGATCCAGAGCTAATTATCAAAGAGGCACAAAAAACAGTGACTTGAACTGCTTGTTAAGTGTTTCACGATAAAATGAATAAAGTATTTATAATTATATTATAGAAACAATTCAAACATTACAAACTCAGAAATGCACGTTCACCAGTAATACATGTAAAACCCAAATGAAACACCACCATGCACCCATATGGAGAAAAAGAAACACATTGTCAGGGTATTCAAAGTGAAACCATTCTGCCCTACATAAACACTATTCAAAAATACTGTTGCAGTTGTAGTTTTGCACTAACGTTAAGCTTAACTGTTTTGGTTTTCCCTCTTAATCTCTCTGGTTTTATTTTAACAACCACAGAGAATGGAAAGCTATTTTGAGAGAGGACAAATCTCTGAAGAAGAAACATCAGATACAAAGATGAATAGCTAGGAGAAAGTCTATTTATCCTTAAACAGTTCTTTAAAGATGTGCAGTGAAGCACTTCTATGACTATTTCAATTTCACATTGAATGAAGTGCTGGAATGTAAGTAGATGGGCCAAGGTGCAAATACATTTAATTTAAAAGGGTTCTGGCTCATTGTTTTGACTGTTCAAGTACAAAGTTGCACCTGGTTTTAACCATATGAGGAGTCTAAATGCACAAACTGGTCCAACTAAAATTACTTGCAACCCAAAACAACCCTCTCTTGATGCTCTCTCTATATCTTTTTTATAGTCACTTCAAAGGTTAATCCTCAGAAAATATACAGCATCTTCAATGAGCACAACCATCATTACTTCAAAAGCTATCTTCCATTTGTCATGTAACTGCTTTTGAATACAAAATACAGTATTAACAAAAAACTCATAGTTAAAATTTGTATAGCAAAAGGCAACTAATGTACAGTTTAAGAATTTCCTTTTCTCCACATTAAATTTATGCTATTTTTTGTGATGATAATTGTTTTGGTTTATTTTTTTCCTTCAACTTTTTTTTTCAAGTAATGGTTTCTTTTAAAATATACTAAAGTCTTTCAGGCTGCTTTCTGGGGCTCAAGAATCTCTTGTACAAAAAGAAAAAAGTCAAAGACTAAAGGCAGAACTATTTTGGAGAGACACTTCCTAATTCAAATTGCAGATACTGGTGTAAGTGTCTTTAAACTCAGTTAACTCAGTATTAATGATAAGATAAAGGTAAGAGTGTTGCTTCTGACATAATATCCTCTACAACCCAGAGACACCAAGGATGCTACAATCATTCTCTGTGGTAATGCCAGCTTTTTTCCTTCACTACCTCACAAATTAGTAACACAATAATTTTCTGAGTAAATTTATAGCTCCTCTACATGTACAGGGCAACATTTATTTCAAGCTACTAAAAAGTGCAAAAAGGCAAGCCAAGCATGAAAACCACTACACCCAAAAATGTTAAGCAAAAATATCCCACATAAACACACCCACCCTTTTTTTTTGTGCCAAAAACCTCACAACCCACCCACAAACAATGAATAATAGGCAATGGACTATGTAACACTGGTTTATCAAGACCACAGCTACCAAGAGCTTTGGCACCTAAGAAATCCTGAAGTTTATTTTTATATGAGTAAGCTTTCTTGCAAACTACACCAGAAGCAGTGGGAAGAAACTGTTGCACAGGAAGCTCCATCTGGATACAAGGAAGAATTTCTTCACTGTGCAGGTGACTGAGCACTGGAAAAGATTGTCCTGAGAGGTTGTGGAGACTCCCTCACTGGAGATGTTCAAGAACCATCTGAACACAATTCTGCCCCAGGTGCTCTAGGATGACCCTGCCTGGGCAGGGAGGTTGGACCAGATACCCCACGGTGTTCCCCTCCAACCCGACCCATTCTGTAATTCAGTAATACTGTTCACCTATTTCTAAAAGCCCTTCAGAGACCCTGAATTGAGAAACCAAAGGTCTATAGGAGGATTCTGGGACCTTCCCCAAAGACTTCCTGTCACCTGGACAAAGACTACATTGTAATTATTTTAGCTTCAGTTCAACACATTCACAACACTACAGAGATGTTTGTCAATTCAACATCACATTTCCATTTGGGATGCCACCTTTTTTTTTTTTTCTTTTAAAACAAGAAAAAGCTCTTGCCTATACCTGGTACTATTTCAAATATTGATTACATGGAGACTTGAAATGCTTGCATGCAACAATAGATATGAATCTGACTTTCAAACTGAGTGCTAAACAAGATTTTTCATCCAGCCTCCTGTTTATTTTAATAAGAGAAGCCTGAACATACAAACAATAAAACCTGACACACACTGAAAGCTTCAGAATTGATTACACACAGCACAGATATCAAAATATTTAACTTACATATGATTGGATCTCCTTCCCCTGTTTGTTTTCTTTCCTATAACAGGAGTCCCAAAGTGTTCAGGATTGGTGAGTGGAAGCTGATCTAATGTCTGTTGAAATGAAAAAATACATATGCATACACATAAGAAAAACCTGGCGTAAGTTATTCTCCAAACCACCTTCACTCAAGCAATTTTTGTCAATAGAGATTTTCTCATTACAAAGAAATACAGAAGTACATCATACATGTCATGCTTAGATTTTAAAAAAGGAATGTTCTGTTTTGCAGTTCTTTCCAACACTTTCTCTGCACTGCCGAATAATTAACTTTTGTCAAACACACACAGATAATTCTTCTCAGAAGTCTTGTCTTTGGACCATCAAAACACAGAGAAATAAATATCAGGTATTCTGCTCACCTGGCATATTCCATCTCTACCAGATTAATTTTCTGTCTATCCTATCATTGGACTAAATACTGAATCATCTACTTAATAATGAACAAAGATCCCCTTTGAAATGAAACAGCAAGATCACTCAGTAGCAAACATGACAACTTAATTGTATTTTATGTTAGTAATTCATACTTCGATATGTGAGAGAGATTCTAAAACAATTTAAAAGAGGCTGCTATATTGATAATTGGGAGGGTGCTAATTGATGCTTTATCAGCATCAAAACAAAAAGAGAGGGAGAGAAAAAAACTTTCCCTCTTCAGGAAGAATTCTTCAGAAGGAATTAATGGACATGCAGTATTATCTCTCCTTAAGCCTGCCATTACCTGTTTAAATGATAACAATTCCAGATTCAAAGACTCCTGGTACACCAGTACTTATACTAATAATAAGTATATTTATTATTAGTCTGAAAGAAGGCAGAAAGCCTTCAAAATAAAATATAGTCCTCTGACTTAAACTTCTTTGTCATGTATGAATTTTTCAATGTGTAACACCAACAAGCACCTCAAATATATTCTGTCTGAGAGAGAGCTGACTTAGGGACCATAAAATTGGCTTTTTAGAATGTAAAAATAAATGTATGACTAGTTCTAAGTGTGGTGGACATCCTAAAAGATTCTACACCACACACTTGGGAAGCAATATCAGAACAAGCCAACTGTGGGGTACTGGCCTAATTACAAAATAAATTTGAGATGCAATTTTCCCTGCTGAGTAGCTGTGCAATCACAAGGTAATTATTAGAAATGTACAACATGTTTCATTCAGAGCTGGTGACAGTGAACTGCAAATCAGTGACTTCTGGCAAAACATCAGAAGCTTAGATGATAAAAAAGATGATAAAATAAGAAGTACCAGTCATCTGAATGTAAGGTTTCTTTCAATCTTACAGAATAATCCAAATTACTCTCATTCAGCCAAACAGGTCACAAAGCAATATACATAGACCAAAATTTTCAATCCGTGTACTCTAAGGTAATACTCCTGAAACCATATTAAAATAGTGCTTATGGAAGAAAAGAAATTTAATCTTCAGTTGTGCTGATCATTAATAACAAAAAACTAATTGAAGGAATTCCACAATCTTTAAAATAATAGCATTTCTAAGTGAAGCTGGATTTAGGCATCTAATTAGGCTCCCACCTTTACATATGTTTAGTCCTGATTTAGGATTCTAGAAGATATGTGAATCTTCACAAGAAGACAACACACAACTCAGCTGACTGCAATAACAGCACACTTATGTAGAGCAAAAAATCCCCATCTTCAGTAGCTGTCCAATAAACAAACATCTTTACGTAAATCTGCCCATCCGTCCAGATTGTCTTATGTAATATGAAGGAATAACCCTCATTCTGAAATTCCAATTGGAATGAGCTACAAACTTTTGCATACTTTAATGTGCAAGTCACCTCAAAGACATGAGCCAGCTGCAAAATCCTGGTAGGTGTTGTCAAGTAAAGGAGTAACAGCAACTTATTATTGGCCATTAAAAAGAAAAGCATTTGTTTCATCAATTATTACAAATTGGGTTTGACCATCAAAAATGCAGCAGAATTTTATTATGTGGAAACATGTACATTAGTTTTTTTATGTTATAAATTATATTATTTTTCATGTTATAAGTATACTTTAATTTCACGACTAATACTCTTTTATACTTTTGTAATTTACATCTAGATTTTATAATTTAAATTTATAATTTTTTATTCAATGCAAAGTAGTTGTGCAATTGCAGGTTTTTCGTGTGATCTACAGTCTACAAATTATCAATAATATAAAAATGAAAAACATAAAGTGCAGATTTTGTTTCTTAACTTATACAGTTTGGTGAAATCTAACTTTCTTGGTTGTAAAAAGAATAAGATCCTGTGAACCGCGCACTTTGTATTACCCCCATTTTTAGTAGCATGGATACGGGTAACATAATAAAAATTGAGGTGATAAAAGTATCACTTTTAAATTTTTCTGAATAAAAAGTTGTAATATAAAAACTCTTCAATTACCTCACTCTCAGCAAAATGTCTTTCTCCTTTTAAACACAGGGAAGAGCGTCTCAGAGTCTTCTCATCACCATCATCAAATACTGTCACCAGGTAAGAAGTGAGGAAAGAAAACATTTCTTTTTAACTCAGGATATTAATAAGCAATTCATTTACACGTCAGAAAGAACTGAATATATATTCCTGTAGTCAAACCTATGCCCAGATAATGCTGCAAATCCAGTAAAGCATTTCACAGATCAACCAAAAACAAATACGTAAGCTGCTCTCTCACCATAGCTACTTTATACTTGCATACCGTGAGTTATCAGTAGTTGAGCAAACAATTCATGGTGTTATGAAATTAAATTCAACATACTAGAATTCAAAAACTATTTTTTCTAACATTCAAAAACTATTTTTCTAACATTTACAATTTTTAAAGAATTTAATTACTCAAGTCCTGTGATATTCCAGTGGAAGCTCTGCTTACCATGGAGAAACATAAATGGATATTTATAGAAAAAAGCCACTATTTAACACTGTATGGAATTTCAATGTCTTTCTCTACTGACCTCATGCAACTATGCTATAGAATAACAGTGATATCATCCTAAGGAAGATGGCAATAGTCGAAGTGCTGACAATCATCAAAACCAGCTCTCCTGACAGAACTGTGGAGCTCCCAGTTCCTAAACATTTTGCTACCTCTGCTATCACTAGGTCAACTGGAAACAAGTTCCTAATACAGTTCATTCAGCTACATACATTATCTTTTATAATCCTGAAATGCACTGCACACATTTAATGTGGGGTCTTCACAACATGATAAACTGGTCATATAAAAAGTAAGCTTTTGTCAAGTCTTCTGCAGGTACTTAACAGATGAAAACCCGGTGACAAATGTTAACTCTTAGGCTTTGCTTGCACTGTTTAGTGAGACAAGAATTTATCTCTTCCCTCTTGAGCAGTGGTAATAATTACATTCTTGCTCCCACACATCAATGACCTTGAAGACTTTTGTGGGCACAGAAACTACCCCAAAACAATATTAAATTATTACATTAAAAAAAAAAGTTTCAGCAACTTCTTAACATGTCTCTTTCACCTTCATTTAAAAATCCTCTTCTGTCCATCAACAGATCAAAGTAACAGTGTTAGAAGAATGGCTGTTGATCAAGAAAACTAGAGATTTTAACCATTTCTTGCTTTCAGATGTAGGGTGCTCTACTCTTCAACATTTACTAACTCAAATAAAAATACACAAAAAGCAACAAGGTACATCAAATTTCTTGACTAATATTTACTTGATATTAAAGAAATTTTTATCTAGTTCTAAGAATTTTTCTCCCCCATATAAAACTGAGTACTGTTGATTAAGAAACTTCCCCTTCTATTGGTGAAGAAACTTCCCTTCTAACTACAATGCCCCAGCTTGTATTATAGACTATAGTAATTGTTGAACACTGTTCCATTGTGATAAAGTATCAGTTAGAGATGCACAAATGTCACTTCAACACTTGTTGAAAAGTATCAATGGCAAGAACTGCACACAAACCATGTAGATTTGGAACTGCATCTCAAATGGTCAACACATAATTAAGCCCCTCTTTGTTTAAGTGAAGTAGAAGTCAGCAGGTTCCTAATCCACTTTGTGTTAATTAACAAAACAGTCTCCTTACATAATGAGAGACAAAAAAAAAATCTATCCACTTCAAGAGATAAGCTGACTACAGCAGAGGTAAACCTATTCAGAGCTAGGCAGGTAGCCACATAATGTGTCCTATGTGGTAATCTGCTTGTGGCCTCTTCCCTGACAGAGGGAATCTTAATCTTGTTCCATAACATGAATACTTTCAGAAGAAAAGCTTGACCTCCCTCAAAGACTTATGTGGCCAGCATGGCTTATATGGCTTAATGAGCATGACATTCTGATCTACTGGAATATCATGAAAACAATCTACTGAGCAGGCATCAGGAGTGTAATGTATTTAAAATCACATATTCTGAAACTCCAAGAGAAAAGCCAGGGAGGGCAGGGAAGAAAAGAGACAATTTAACACAACCAAAACCACCTTGAATTCTGTGAAAAAGCATTGTAACAACAAAGAAAAAGTGCAGGAAGCAAGATTACTTCTGAACATGCATAGCTCTGCATTTTTAGTAAACCAAATAATTCTGCAATTTTTCCCCCCCCTCATAGTAAACACAGACTTTAAGAGATATTTATATGAATGACAGAACAGTATCTAATTATCAGGACTTAAATACCTGGAGCTCTTTGAGGATTTTTTACAGGGCAGGCAAAACTAAGGACGCTTATGTATGTGTATGTGTGCATGTATTTATATATGTATGCCTAATATATTTACAAGTTTTATGCCTATATATACATACATATATATGTATATTTATTTATTATATTGAAATATTTATTATTTATGCCTGTATATACATACATATATACATATACACAGTGCTATACTAATTTTAAAAGACTATACTAGCTGGATTTTTATTAAAAAAATTATTTAGTTTTTGTTCTTTTGTAGGAAAGCAGTAGCAATAAAAAAATCATACAAGCAAATTGATGTACCATTTCTATTCAGACAACACCTTAGGAAGACAAGATACACAGGGATGCTCAAAGCAATTCTGCCCATACTTCAGTATTAAAAGAGGTCTCAAGCAGCCCTCAAAGGATTATTCTTCTCCAGATACTGCTGCAATGGCATATCTGGTCTTAGGTAACTTTTGGAAAGGTATTATTTCAGATGGATCTATGCTTTCACAAAGTTTTTGACCGAATCATAGTAATTGTATTCACAAGATCATTAACAGTGCAAATAATTAGATGCTTCTCAGCAAGTGCTAGGACAATATTAGGTAACTGCTTGTTAAGATGTGTGCCAATTCTAGAATCTGGTAAGTGGCAACTATATCTTACAGTAGGACTTGCACTCAGATCTGCTAAGTCATCACTGTCTGTAAAGGTAATTTTCATCCCATTCCACCCACCCTCCAGACAAAGATAAGAATTTATCATCCACAGCTAGAGTCAATTCTCTATCAAAGTGCACTGCACTGCCAGCAGCTGTGCTGCTTTTACCAATTCTGCAAGGTCTACATGCTTTTGTCTGTTTTTATCTACAAAACACAAGAGTTGAGACTGAAACCCATACTTCTTCCTATTTCCCAGCTTCAGGATTTTTGACAGACATCTCCTTTGACTGCAACTCTGTGACATCTACCTTCAAAATTTAATCTGCAAGGATTCCTATCTTATTCTTGCTTCTGAACTGCTAACCTCACACTTTCTCAGAAACATAAACATAGGCAAACAACACAGTTCTAACACTAGCTATACTATTTGCTTCTTAAAAACCCTCATATCTGATCCACTTCTGTATTAACTACCAAAACACTATCTATAATGTTAATTCTTGTCTTTGTACCTTATGTTTTACCCCATCCTAACCCAGTCTCACCTTTACTAACAGATTCTACATCTCCAATGAGAAAACAGACATATTTTCTTCAACACTTATCTATAAAGTCTTAGCTACATTTAGAGCTCGATTCCCTTCTGAAATGACTATGACTAGGGAAAATTAAGTCTTTCCCTAGTTGTTCAACATCACTTCATTAACAACAACCCATATCTCAAAAGAACTAAGCCTCGCAAAAGTTCTTTCAAGATCTAGTCTTCATCTTCCCATATTTACCCAGGAGAAGGCTATGTAGTTTCTCAGGAATCAATACATTTCCTGTAAGTAAAAGAAAGAAAAACTCCACCCTCTATTTGCTAGAGATCGTGTGGTATATTATTGAACATCTGAAACATCACATTATAACAAGCTATATGTATTTTAACAGCAGCTGTTGTAACGGCTAAGTCTGGGAGTGGGGAAAAGCAGGTGCTTCAGCTTGTGTTTTAAAAGCATTTCTTTGCTTCTTTTTTTAAGGACATGTGACAGCATACCTTGCTTCAAAATATTTAACAACAGTGTATTGAATTATCTAAGGGGCAGTCACCAGTTATAGAGCAATTCACTACATCTTTATTTGGTGTCCCAATTTCAGATCGTAAGGGGTACAGTTTCTTATAAATACCCAAATTATGATGTTCATCTTTAAAAGTTTTTCATAAAAACTCTGAATACCTAAGCATCTCCAAAAAAATCTCTCTCACCATGTTTAGGACATGTCCAGGTCACAGGCTTATTTTTAAGTAATAAATTTTATTCAAATACATAAATCTTTCTCTTACCTACAGTATACCAACTTGCATCTGTTAATTTGTTGATAACTGCTTCCTGGTATGTTCCATCTGGATTCTTCACCTCCACAACAGTTCCTACCTAAAATAGAGAACTCACTTAGCACTGGAGGCTTTCTGAAGCAGGCAATGAAATCAACACTTTTATGTTAGCTAACAGAGATAATCTCTTACCTATTCCATGTCAAATATAAAATGTTTTTCCAGTTTCACTTGAATATACTTGTATCCCTCAAACTTCTTTTTTCATTCCTTTAAAATAAGCCAACTAACTGAGCTGATTATTTCCTGCCAGCAGGTGGGGAACAAGAACCAATTTGAGTGATGTCATTCTCTTGTATAAGAGCTTTCCCATCAAATCCTCCTGCCGAGTTCTCTAAAGGAACAGTGACTAAAAATCAGTGCCAGCCATACTTCTTAGCTTTAAGGCAAAAAAGAACAGAGGCTTGCACCAGCCCGTGCTGCATCCCCTTTAACTACAAAGAAAAAAGCTAACATGAAGAATATACCTAACTTTGTAGTATTACCTTTTATGCTTTATGCTCCTATCTAGCCTGTGTAATAAGTTGAACCTTCTACATACCATATATGCACATTTATGTCAAATACTGGAAAGAAAAATGTTTTTCAAAGCATTAGCAAGATATAAACCAAATTTATTACCTTTAAGGGACCCTTTATGTGGTCATCTTGCACTTCCACTGTTGACGAATCGTGCCTAAAGGTTACCTAAAAAATATAATTCAACTGACAATCACTTGATACAATTGAGCAGCATAAGCACATGCAAACGTCAATAGCCCTTCTCTTACTCTCATTTTACAGTTAATCACCATAATCATTCCACTTCTGAAAGCTTTTTTATTAATATATTTCAGAAATATGAGGGGCTAATTTTTTAGTTATCAAAACTCGCAAAATATTTTTTATCTTTCACAATAGAACCATTATCTCTAAAGGAAATGACAGACAAGAATGTAACAAAATTGTCTAATGGCTCAAAATTATCTCTGCAGTTCTCTTAAACTATTTGAAGTTGTCTAGTATCACAGCAAGAAAGAAAGTTTCAAGACTTCTGAGTACAACTTTAAAGAAACACTTATATTTCAATGCTTTGAAATAAACAGTTTTAGCACCTTTATCTTTTGCTGATAAAAGTGCATTTTTCCCCTCATGGTTGAAAGACTCACACAAATACAGGACACTGCTGTTGACTAAACAAAATGAACAACTCAAACGGGCTCTCAGTTAATGTCAGTCTAGGCTACACGCAGAGTTAACTGGAAGAAAATGTAAAAACAGCAAACCTTTCAGTCTTTTAAAACAAGAGTAAGTAAATCCTTTAAACACTTAAGGTGTTTTCCCTTGTCATTCCCATAAAGACACAAAGGCTGCTGTCTTTAATTCCACACACTCTGTCCTCAGAAGAAAAAACTGGTCTGGAAACTCAAATGTATGATTAAATTAACTGTAACAGGTGCTACAGACATTCACCATTCACTTGAAAATCACAATTTACTTGATTACATTGAAAGTCACAGGATCGTCCTATCAATTACATCTGAAGTTTTATTTCCACTCCAGTTTTAAAATTATAGGAAACTGAGAAAATTCTGGAATTACATTTTATGTACCTATGTACATTTATTAACACACAAATGATGTTCTGATGGTCACCAAAACATACTCTCTTGGTATATTGACATTGAAGTATAAGATGTTTTACTGAGTATTTGAAATAAGTAAGAATGTAACATGAGATCCAGCTGTGTAACACTAGCTCTCAACTACAGCAATCCTACCTCAAAAGTCTGGACTTGTTTCACCCGTGATCATGTTCTCACTGCTATTGAGAGCTTCACTGTAGTACACAGTAACAGCAAAATTTCCTTCAGAACCACAGTGTTCTCTTATCACCAACTCTCCTACACAGCCTCCTCAGCGAGGAGATTTTAAGGAGTTTTGCCAAGAACAGTACCTACAACCAGGACTGAGGACAACCTACCTTCACTGTCTGATTAGAAAACGAATGCACTAAAATGCTACACTGCCTTCCAGGTGCTACTTCAATGAAATAGTCATCTTGTCTATCTTCTGTTAGAACTACAGCAGCACATATTATGCTCTTTTTAGACCTGTGTATTTCACCTGCTGATGGCAAATACTTTCTGTCCACCACACAGACAAAATCTTATCTTGTCACCAAAAGACAGACAAGGGATTCAGGCTAGGAATTAACTGAGCAAGGACTACTCTTCTGAACTTCATCCTGACAGATACAGGTTAATTCTCTCCGAGGGGGAATTTATCTAGAAAGCCAAAATTCAGTTAAGATGCAAAATAATCTGAAACCAAGAGTCACTAGTGGCTCATACGAAATATCCAGTACATCAATTCTGATTTAGAGACATCTGTTTCTATTTACTTTCTGTAGGTATCTTAAATGTATTTTGCAGCACAAAGGAACTCTATCCAAAACCATCAGTCAGCCACAATGTACTCTGATGAAGGTAAACAAAGCAAATTGCTATTGTGTATTCCAGAATGGCTTGTCTTTTTAAAGATGTCTTGGGGCTTTGACTCTGGGGAGAGTTTTGATAACAACAGATTTTGCTTTTTGATATATTCATATGTGCTCAAAAAATACTGGTTATTAACAGAAATATTCAAACTGCAAACTCAGTCTGACACTGCTGTCCTTTCTTGAAACTGAGAAAAGTGATGTCAGTATTTGCTAGTTGTGGGTTTTAATTCTTATAGTATTTAGCAGTATAGAACCTTTCTGTCTCAGGCAAAAGATTAAGACATTCAGCACATCAACTTGGCTAGACTCAGCTGGAATTTCTTTTCACCATCCTGAAATGACAGTCCTAGTAAGTCCTATTACAGCAGAAGCTTTACTTATTTCTGTTTAATAAAGACCTACACAGAAAACAGTTTCTTCTGAAATTGCTATGCAGAGTGCTCAAATGCAACTAGTGGTGGATGATGCTGCTAATTGTTTTAGGAGACGCTGCCAAAACAAACTGGCTTAAATAAGTCTCTAAAAAAAGTGATAACAGATCTGATAAAGTAGGCTAACACTCTTGTAACACCCAAAATCTTGCCCTTGAGTAAAATTTGTACTGCCTTTAGCACTTTTGAGAAGTCGAGGCAAGTCTGAAGTTCTACTGCTTTCCACGAGCAAGTGTGCAATGCTGTTATACGTAACTGTAGAATTCCATATCACGTACAGAATTTGCCAAAGACTGCTAAACTGTGAAATACAGTACCCATTGGTACTGAATTTATTAGTACATAGCACCTGCATTAAATTGAATGAGGTTATTAAATTATGCTGTAATGGGAGAAGTTACTGTGAAGGTATCTCCTCAAAATATTCCAGGAAGCAGAATTCAACAAAAGGAGAAAGCACATAAAAGGAGACACAATTAAACATATTTTACTTGTCTGAAGATTACAATATTCTGCACCAAAATAATTTTGTTGCCATCCTACTTTCTCAGCAGAATATCTAGTTATAAAACTTAAATGACTCTTTACATTGAAATTGACAGTATGAAGTTAACTGACGTTTCTTCTCCTCTAGTTCTAGAAGACTAAGGCATAAAATACATACGGGGGCCAAAAGAATCCCATTCAGCAAGTGAAAAAAATAATGCAGCAGATAATATAACAAAATTCCAGACAAAGCACAGCTGATTATGAGAATCTTTGTTAGAACTAATATTGGGGAAAGTAAGCATGTGCCAGAAACAGCTAAACAGATTTTCAGAGAAAATCAGAGGGACACTCTTGAGTTTAAGGAATACACATTCTTGGTGGCGAAAAAACCATGTAAACAGATATTGTTACAGCACCTACACACAAAAATCTCAACCATAAATCAAATTACTCTAGAGCAACAATACTGGGGGAGAACTGCTCTTAGTGATATAGTAACAATGAACACACACACCCACACACACCCCTCTATATCCAGAAGGCTTTGTACAAAATCTCCACAAACAACTGACAGCAAAATTCCATTTCATGTCAAGATCTTTCTGCAAACCTTGCCATGACCAAATTCCAAGTGATAAACCCATAAGAAAATAGCACTGAATAATAAATAGTCCCACATCTAAGGAAGTGGACTGAAAGTCCCCGAAAGAACTGAAATGAGTTAAGATCTAGGCACAGCAAAATTCCAGTACTTAAATACTGATGCTTAACTGCTTAAATAGCAATACTTAATCACTTAAACCAAATGGTACTGTAAAGCATAGATCAGCTGATGCTATTAAAAGTTTTGATTAATGAAACCGAAAGACCACTAATTTGCTCTTCTGGCAGATTTAGGACTAAAAACTTCTTGTTGTACTTAACATTACTGTCAAATAAGTAACAACAGACCTTCCCACCAGGGTTTATGGAGAGTGCCAGCTCTCTCCCTCAGACACACTGTAGGCAAAAATCAGCTACAGCCGGAGGGCAGAATTAAATAATCCACATTAGTTTATAGTGTGCAACAGTCTTCAATAATAGGTTACTGCCACTCACATTTCACATATTTTTCACTTAAATTTACAGTAGATATAAGAAAAATATTCTGCCACTATAATTCTTGCAGAGCAACAATCTAATTTGTATTTTCTAGGTGGTTTTGACCTTTGCTCTGTAATGTTTCTGTGTGAGGTTAAGAGGCAAAGCAGAAAAATATTATCTCCTCCCAAATCAGAAGTTTTTAGGGCAACATGATCCCAACAGAAATATACAGCTATTTTTGCTGTATTGTTCTCTTTATTTCTAGAAATGATACTTTAAATTTGCAAGGAATATTAAAACTTATATATTGCAATTCCTCTGCAGAATTTTTATTTGTCTTGCATGTGGCTTATATTGATTCAATCATTAACTAGTTATCATAAAGCTTAAGTGAGATCCCCTGCTTGCTATTCTGTAAGGCTCAACACGCCAAGTGTGTTTTTGGAAGGCAGAAGGGTTTCAGCTTATTCCCAAAGCATTACCTAGTTGCCACAGCTAAATGGCAGTGACCTGTACTCCTCAAGTAAAAGAAACCCTATTAAAGCCTACTTTAAGCAGTGTTAGCTATTTTCTGGTAATATTCTCCCATACATAAGCCTACATCAGTCACATTTTAATAATTTACTTTAAGGTCAGCCTACGGCATTGAAGGTCAAAAACACATAGATGACAAAGTAGTGACAGGAACAGAATATGTTTATTTGTACGGGAGTGGGGGAATCCCTCCCATTCCAACAATAATAAGCTTACTGTTATTTCAAAGATCGTAATGCCAGCCTCCAAGGACAGGACAACCTCTCAGCTGTCTCCTGAGACTAAGAAGAAGTTTCACATTGTGCTATTTTGAAATCAACCACCTTTTTCACTCCTCCCCTCAAAAAAGGTCTTTGCAGGAAAACCACATACCTTGACTTTGACAAGCCTTTTTGCTGTCTTGATCTTGGCTTCACAGAAGGCTCCTCTATACTTCGCACTCACATCAGTGCCTACTGTGAGATAGGGAGGCTCATCAATTGCCTGGAACAGAAAGGAAAACAGCTGCTTTTTATTTACTGACCACTGGCAATACAGTTACCATAGTGTCCTGGGGTGACTTTATGATACTGGTATCCCCAATCATCTGGTTTATGTTATATATTAAGTTCTGCACCTTTAAGACTGGCTTTGAGAGCAAGAGAGGGGGAAGAAGAAGCGCGCAGTTTGTGTTAAAGAAAAACATCACTCCCACACATCCCGCTCCTGGACTGTGGTGTCTGCAGCACGGACAGACAGCGGGACAGAGCTTCTCTCTGGCTTTTAGTTAGTTCTAGCTAGCTGAGGCAGAGGAGTTCCCTGGACCTTTGTTTTTTTTTTTTTCCCCAATTTTCTTGGATCTGTGCAAGCCTGCTCTGGACTGAACACCCAGCCAAACCCCGGGAGCTCACGCCTGTGGCCCACCAGGGCCTGGGCCTCGGCACTTTCCAGCGCCGGAGGGACTGATAAGAACCTAAGCGAGCCGAGCTACACCACATGAAAAGGACTTTTTCTTCCTAGACTTGCCATCCCATCAAACAGCAAGAGGTTTTATTATTTAATATTACTCAATTTCTGTTAAATAAACAGCTTTTTCCACTTCTCTCCAAGGAATTTTTTTTTTTTCCTTTTCCCGGACCAGTTGGTGGGGAGGGGCATTTCCCTGGGGAAATCCCCATTTGGAGTTTTCCTTCCTAATTTGCCCTAAACTAGGACACATAGTCTCACCAATTTCTGTGGACAAAGTATTACAAAACAGCCAAATGAAGCTTAAATTGACAACAGTAGAAACATAGAACACAACACTAAGGTAATACAATGAATAAAATTACAATCTCATAATATACAGATATAATCTCATGATATAAGATCATAAATACAATAAACTGATACCACAGCTACCTACAAAAAGCACCACATAAGCTTTCCAGCCTCTGTACCATCTGAAGACACAGCAAGTGATCAATTCTGCTGCAGTGGTGAAGGCCAACCAAGTGTTCTCCTTAAATTACCATAAGAGCTGATATATCACATGAAGACACTGGTGTTTATTTCCCTCAAATTATTAAGGTTCATTTTTCATTAGTAAATAGAACAACTCTGAAGAGATTTTGCTTTTTCACTTTCTAATAAAGTAAATGATAAAGGTGTTCTCCGCATCAGGAGAGCAGCCAATGGGCAAGGTATAGTAGGAGACTGACAGAGACTAAACAGATAATGAAGGGTCCAAACAAAAGCCAAGGTTTTGTGACATGAAACACAGGAATAGGTGACATCCAAACAGGGAAATAAGAAACATAAGAAACAGAAGAGGTGGAAAATAAGAGAACATAGGTCAAATCAGTATCTTGAGTGAGATCACGAAGGCACAGTTCCTGCAAAGGAAGTCCATCTTCTCTCACACAACCTCTCCTAAAACCATCTGGATGAGGAGATTCCAGATAACTGAACCACCTATGAAGTATCACTTCATAGACTCTGGGTCAGAAGAGGGAAGGCAGAGGGTGACACACAAGAGGAGAGGTTTGTTTTCAAGAGCTGCAAGCCTCCATGGAGACCCAGACAAGAGCAGAGCAAAGAGATTTAAACTCTTATCGAAGTCACATTGTGTTTCTGTGCCCCTACAGATTCAAACACACCTTACAAGGGGCATCTCTGGCACATCCAGGTTCTCTGGGGGAAAATTATAGAGATAAATCTTCACAGGCATCAGAGACTGATACAGTTTGAGACTGAGGTGCTTGCACTCAGCATCAGATAATTCCTACTAGCTGCTTCCAGTTCTGATACATCAGAAGGCATGGAAGTGTGTACTTGAATGCTTCAATGCATCATTTTTCAGAAATTTAAGTTTTACAAAACTTGAAATTGAGGAACATTAGATGTTACAGGGTTTAATCCTTATTAATGATGTTTTTTACAGTGACTCTATTCCAGCCTCTCTCTCTCACTGGCAGGCAATAGAATATATTTCTGAGTACTATGAAATCATTATCAATCTGCACTTTCTAAGATCATCAGAAGCATGAATGCACTAATGAACCCCTCACTCTCTCTCCCTGCATGTGTGGTACGTGACTGCATGCAGAGTAGTAGGATATACTACGCTGGTGGTAGTATATCCATGAACACCTATCCTTTCCTAATCCAGGCTTACTAGCAATAAAACTCCACTGAGATTAACAAGGAATCTGTTAAGCATGTTGGGATTCTGAAATTCATTCCTTCTTTGCTTGCCAAGCAGTACTTGCCTCTGAGGCATGCTGCAAATGCATCTCTCTTGCTGCACTTGGATGGGTGCTGAAAGAGGGACTCGGTGATAAATTTGGTTTTGGTCAGCACTCTCATTGAAGTGAACCAAGAAGTGGCTGTTTCACACAATATGAATCTGAGCAGAGGAAAGATGCAATGTATTCTCTGGGAAAGACAGTAAAGCTCCAAAATGAGAGCATCCCTCCTGCTCCACTGCACTCTTAGAGAAGAAACTCATTCACCACTACAGGGATGATAGCATTTCATGACAGTTCATCTTCCAAAATTAAAAGGAATTGTGGAGTGCTGAGATTACTTTAACAAGAGAGAAAGATTCCAGATGGGTCCACACAGATGCACACAGCTACAATTCTCCTATAAACAAAACTTAAAAAGCTGTTTGTGTCAGTGTCAGGCTATACTTCCCTACACAGACAAAAGAATTATCACAAAGACCAATCCACTATATCAAGGTGAACTTACAGAAAAATATAGAACACTTTTTCTTCACTGCTATTGACACTAAAACAAAAAATTTTGAGCACCATGATAATCTGAAACTCTACTCTTTGAAAAATTTATGGCATAAGAACAGGCAAGTCAACAACCAAACTTGAAGCAGAACTTTAAATTCTTATACAGACCATAATTACCAGTATTGTGTTTACTTTATCACTACTCTAACTTATTCTTAACAACCTCTTCCAGAAAGAATATTCTTTAAAAAAAAAAAATGTAAGAACTTCAGTTATTAACACACAAGTTAATTTCAATCTCCAGCATAAATCCTTTGAAATTACTCTGATTCCTTTCACTGGAATTAGTTAGTATTTACTACTGTAAAGAACTTCAAAGAATAGTAAACATATGGACTATTTGATTACCAGTGTAGGTATGTTTACTAGAAACAGTATTTTGAAACACTAGAGACAGTGGCTTTTGAGGAAAAATATGATGAAATTAATTTATTTAACTACCACTATAAATCATTATACACTTTAAAACAGTATCTAAATTCTTCAATGGATATGTACTGCATTTTTTTCCTGCAATTTCATTACTCCATTGAAAGACAAATTACATGGGCTTTCCCCCCTCCCAAATCACTTAACTGAAATTTCCAAGTTACTTCTTTCATTGTGACAGAGAAACAGCTGAAAGTGGCAAGTTAAAATAATTAGCAGAATGTGATGCAAGATAGTGAATGCAAACTAGAAAAATAAAAGTAATGATCAGAGCCTGGCATTAATTTCAGATAATTGTTACCATGACTTTGTCATTCGCACCAACTCTGAGTCATCTGTTTTCAAGCAGGTTTTATTCAATTCCACCAACATTAGAGAGATTAAAAATTAGTATACAGCTATTTTTACCTTTCTGTTATCCCTTCCCTGCTTTGTGCTTGCGTCATTTATTAGATGTCCTTATGTTCAGACAATATATCTCTGCCTATTTAATTTTGACATGTTTTATCAGGATTTGTTTTTACTCTTTTCTTAGGATTTTTAGAGCAAGTTTCCAGAAAAGAAAAAAAAAAGAGACAGTATGCTAAAATGCAGCTAGAATTTGATAGTTCAGCGATCTTGGAAAAGGTATTGCAAGCATTCTGAAAATATCTTAACAAGAACCACTGCAGTGGAATTTAAAGGGAAGGGGGACTATAGGGATTACCCTATAATACAGGAAGTTCTGGGCTTCCTAAAATTCTTGAAGGCCTATTCAAACAAAACTGTACCAGTCTCATACATTGCTGCCTCAGCCTTTATTTTAAAAGATAATGTGAATTGGCACTTAAATTTTATATGTGAACATAACCACCTGCACTTTATAGTTTAAAGATAAGAATAATTGTTTCAGGAGCATATCACAATCAATCAGTAAACTTCTGTCAACAGCAGAACTGACAAGTATGTCCAGCACACGCCATCATTCATGTACAATGAGATCATGAACTTCTTTCATTCAGAGCAGCTTCAATACACACCCCAGGATATCCTGTCAGTGTTTCTACGTCTCTACATGTAGTCTTTCAAAAATCTCAGAGTTCACACTGGAAGGAGAAAAGTGAAGCTGATGGAAGAATCTCGGCTCGTTAGTTTGGTCGTTTTACTACTGCCAAAAGACTGGCATTAAAGATCTTCATAGAGACCACTCACCCAGCAGGCGGTTCCAAGAGGAATCACGATTTGGCCTGCATGAATGACCGAGGCCAGGCTCCCGAAGGGGAGCCGGCTCTGCAGGTTGACACCGGGAGATGGTGATCCGTCGGCACCTGGATACCAGGGGAGGGCCGGACCCGCGGCCGCAGCCAGGCGGGGGCTACAGAGGGGCTGTTTTGGGACGAGATGGGGATGAGCCCTTCCCCAGCATCCGCTGCAGGGGGTGCTGAGCGCTACCAGGGCGGTTCGAGCAGCGCCCCGAGGAGCTTCGGCAAGGCCGCCGGAGGAAGACGGCGCCCGGGTGACTCGTGCCGCTCATTCGGGTGAGCAGCCGAGCACCGGCGATGCTCCCGGGAGCTGCCGCTTTAAGGGGAGGGGCCGGAGCCGAGAAGCTGCCAGAAGTTTCTGGCTACCCGAGCCAGCCCCGAGCGCAGCCGCCCGCCCTCGCCCTCCCCGCGAAGGCGCCCACGGCTCCAGCAGATTAAGCGCGGATTGCCGTAAACTAAATTTGTCCCCTTAAGGCGATTGCCGGGTTAATCTGCACGCAGGGCTTCCCGGGAGCCTGCCGCTGCTGGAGTCGGGCACGGAGCACCG